CTCCGCTTCCTACCGCCGCCAGATCCTTCCACTGTCGCATAGTCGATACCTGACCGCCGTCTGCCGCTCGTCTCGTCACCACCATCTGGCTTCAGTTACCCCCATTGATGGCTAACCGCTAAGTGCATCACGGGGTGAGCCAACTCAACTCCGTCGTTACAATCGGCTAATTGCAGGCACTTAAGAATTACGTGATTAATTGCTTCCTCCCTAATGTTCTAAGCACATTTTGTTCCAGTCCCCTTTATAATAAACCGCTTATGCATTGCCCGAAACCCAAATAATTCTGGCGTTTACAAGAGGTTTAATTAACACGCGAGTCTCATCATGAGGCTGCCCGATTAGCTTTGTGCATCCGTTGTGTTTTAGCTTCTGTTACACGCTGCTTCGCGTGGCCCTATGAACGGGTCTCCCTTGTGCTCTACGGCGAGACACGTGCTCGCTCCGATATTGAAAGGATGTCAGACGGGCGCGCCTCTTCCACAGCTGCTAATGACGATAAATGCTTCACGGCTAATGACGAAAGCCGCTCGGAGCTAACGACGATTAATGCTCCCAGCGACCGCCGGTGAGGACAGCGGCGTGAGTGGCAGGGAGGCAGCAGCTTGGCTTTAGATTCTCTGCGCGTTTTTGCAAAAGAAAAATCGCCTACTGCCGCAGTGCAGCATTTCGGTTAGCGCATTAATCCTGGTATTACACCCCACCCGTATTCAAATAAAATGTTCTCTGCGTTAAATATATTTAGGAGTCCATCCTATTAGGCTTCCAGACCTTGCATAATCCAGTAGCGTTTGTCTTAAGCACGCTGAATCGGCACTCACGGTCTGGGGATCATCGTCAAAGGCTATAGAGTTGCTCGGAGGCTCAACTGGACCCATGTGGTAGTCTCAGCTGGCAGCAGCCCCTCGCTCTGAGCCCTGCCCACTTTCATATAGCCCCGCCCCCCACATGGGTAGCCCCGCCCCTTGTCAACATTATTTAAATTTGCGCAACACAATGCGAGTTCAACTAATATGTAGGCGGCTTTCGCGGCCAATGTTATCCATCAGATGTTTTTGGGTTGGATCACGCGTATCATGTGTCGCGAAACCCGCCGCCAGGCTGTCTCCTGATGATGCTTGTTGTAATTACTGGCGAAATGTCTCGGATTGTAAATGTGTGTTAATTCTCCAACCCATCGGTGGCGCTGTACTAGTAACGAATTGGCATGTTTTGTTTACGTGACGCCTTATTAATTGGCCGTGTCGGTAACGGCACATTTATAGTTACGCGATCTAACCCAAAAACCTCCATGGACAAAATGCCAGTTTTCACAAAAAGCTTCGGGACACGGGGACAGACTTCTGAAACCAGTGGGGCTGCCTCTGCCAAACAAACATTTTTCTAGCCTTGTACTCATAGGCTGGTTCAACAAACACTGCTGCTGGTGGTGACCCAGATGTTCCTGGCGAGTGCCCGCTCCTCCATGCCGTCTATATATTGCACAACAGACTCGTCACGATGGCATGCTGTGAGATAATCACTGAATTACTAATTAGCATGCAGCAGCAGGCATATTGTAAGGAAATTAATGAACGTGCATGCGGTGAGGAACGGTGCCCAAACGGGGCATTGACGGTGATGTGTCTGGGATATGTCCTGCAGGAACACGGATGGTGGAGTTTTCTTGTGAGCAAAATGCAGTGAGTGATGTAGGTTATAAAAACAAGGTTGACGGTGTAACTGGTCTGTCGGGAGTCTTCAAAAAGCAAAATAGACTCATGAAATCGACGTTAACGCCGGTTATTTTGTCGAGTACAATTATTTACCCCGGAAAGTTTCGCTACGTCAAAACTCATCGGCAGGTTCCTGCTACTCGGGATTGGCCAATGTCATGAATGACTTCACGTGGCAGGAACCCGGAGAGAGCTGTGTACAAGGGGGGGGTCGACACTTGGCACTGCCACGTCACGCCCGGCTCGTGCGTGGATGGGCCTCGTCGCCGATCCAGTTTCCGAACCAAGCTCAAAGCCTGCTGTCTTGGCTTTAGAGATCGTGTGCGTCCATTCCGGGGTGTGGGGGGGGCATTTAGTTTCGTAGGCAAACGCAGATGAATGTGCAACGGCTTGCTGCTTGATCATTAATAATGAGCTCGCAGCTGGGGCGAGGCACGCGGGGCCCACTCCGTGGTTTAATTTGCATTTCACGTGCCGTGGCAAAGGCATTGCCGCTGCGTAGGGGGCTTTGCAAGCCGTGCCGCACGGCTCTCTGATGCGTTGCGCGGTTGTTATGCGTGTTTGGCGCAACGTCCGATATTTCTCTTCGACGATTTTTTAAAAGCACTCGCCACGTGCCGGCCTACGTCAAGGAGCCGAGCCCAATCCGAGTCGGTAAATGTCAGCATCTGGCAACTTTCTTACGTGATCGAGGGAGAAAGTGAGCAGCTCGGTTCGGTTCCCCGTAGGGAGCTGCAGCGTGCGGAGCGAAACGTCGGACGTCTCGCCGAGCAACGCGCAGTACAACCCGTGCAGCATATTTAATCTGAAAGAGGATGTCTGGATATGGCATAGAAGGCTTCATGGTGGAGAGCAATGTCGTCAATGTCGTGAGGCTGAGCTTGAGCCCGACAGTTCGTGGCCTGGCCTGCCGTGTCTTGTTCGGCATGACGACCGGTCAATTAAAATGTTTCTTCCTCCACGTGCTAATTTCGTGTGGGAGGAAACTGTAGAAGCCAGAGAACACACGGGGCATTCGAGGGGTAGGAGGCGGCAATTGGCACTGCCATCTGCTGGCTACCCGGCACACGGCTCCACGTGGAGCCACACGGCGAGCCTCATGCCAAACGCTACGCAGTGCAGCAGAGCGGAGAGCCGTGGCGTCGTGTTCTGGCTATACTAAAACAATTAGTTTTGTTTGACCAGGTAAGACCCGCTGAGCTATACAGCTCTCTTTTTTCAGAAGCGACCTGGCCACAAATGATAGCTCAAGCAAAGTGGCTTATCGCATGGAAGTTCATAGCAGCCAAATACTCTAAGCGAGTGATGTTGATTCTCTAAATGTGGGTGGGGAAAAAAACCGGATGACCCGGAAAAAAAATCCACGGGGAGCACATGCGAACTCCAAATATGCAGGCGCCGGGGTTGGGATCGAACCCACGACTTCCTGTATACCAGGCGAGGCAGTTAACATCTCGCCACCGTGTCTGCTGGTGCCTGTGGTGTAGTTGGCAGGGAGAAGTCCGGTTAGTGAGGTGAGGTGAGGGATGCGCTGTCTGCAAGCAAAGATGCTCGTCGCTCAAGTTAACGTGGGTGGGCAAAACGGCACTAAATACGACGGGGAGGGGAAACGTGGAAGGATGATCACCGGCGTGCAATCGGAGGACTTAAAATAATTAATACACGTGACGTACATATGCCCGGTACAATCACTTTGATGCATACGCAGGCACAGAACGGACACAAATTCCATTTCTAAAGCAGGCAAACCAGAGGTGGGTAACCAAGTGTAGTGGATCATACCGCATTTGGCAGCTGAAATAAAGACATTAGGAAATTGCGCGTTATTTTTTTAGATGTATAGATATTTTTCCTGGTAATAAAACGGCTGTCTTAAAGCAAAGATTGACTCTTAAGCATGGTAGGTGTAACGTTCAACATCAGGTGCTTGGTGCGGAGAGAACACCTAACACTATCTGCATAAACACAAGTACAGTAATAATAAAAAAAAATGTATTTACGGTCGTTAAAATAAATAAAAATGCAAATATCCATACATAATAAATGAGCACTTGTTGGGCACCAGTCTTTTACTAAATAGTGAAACGTTGACTGCAGCAAAGTGGAGTGAACTTATTGTGAGCGTCGCATTGGCGTGGAGTGGAGGTTGGCCGTGGTTGGGGATATTTAACGGCGACGAGTGTCCACACTCGCATGGACCTATTCTTGTCAACGCACTTCGCCAACTTTGCAAATGCATAAAGATACCACTGGTATAACAACCGTGTAGATCTTCGTGGAAAGTGCTGTTAGTGGGCAACTCAGGGCGAAGCTGCACGCGGGGATGAGTGGTGTTGCCAGCACGCCTTTGTCTCCCCGCTACTGATGGTTTATGCACCGCTCCTGGTACTCTTGAGGCTAAGTCGACCTATGAGGAGACTCGGCACCGGTTTAAAAATCGCTTGGCCACTGACGGTAGCCGATCAAACTCTGCATCTGGGTTCGTAGCGCAGCGTGCCACCGTTTACCCATTCGGACACGCATTCTCACGTATTTTGTATATATAAAATCTCGAAACTGTGGAAACGAGGGATTTTAAAGGTGCAATTAATCTTGACGATCGCTTCAATAACTTTACTGGAGTCAAGGAATTGTGTTTATTTAATTAAAGGCTGGTGTCCCAAGGTATATTCACAGCTCTTCTCATTCATTGCCACCCTATAAATTGTACTCTAAATATACACGGGCAACAATTACTCGTGCAATCAACAGATTTTTTTTGATTATCTTCTAACATTTGTGCACACACCTCCATGGTGTTTCATTAGGCATCTGTGCCTGGATAGGTGCCGATGTTGTTTGTCAAAGTTGCTCATCGCGTCAAGACACTTCGTGCAACGTGGCCGTTGCACAAAGTGTTCTCCCGGTATGAAAACCCAACGGATGACTGTTAAAGTCCAAGCGGACAAATAATTGTTACTTTACACACCTTTGTCCGTCCACCGATGGGCAAATATCGGTTGGTGAATGGAGGGGGGGGGGGGCAAGAGGACCGGTCCAGGAACCACGCGCCACTGCCGTTAGCCATGGCACGCAATGGAACTCCAGACACCGGCTTCACAGTACATTGCGCTAACCGTGGCGCCACCGCTCCCCTTTCGCTTAACAGTTGCATATGCACTAATCAACAGGCACATGTGTAAAATGGCACGCTAGGGCTGTTTTGCGTGGCTTTCCGCTTTGCATCATCGCTTCGCTACGAGGTCTCGGGGGACGTGACGGTCGCACTTTATGCGCACGGCTCACCTGCTCTCTCGCATGTCCGACTTGTACTCGATGGCAATGAGCAGCAGCTTCAGCTTCATGAAGACCAGCCTGCAAGACACACGCACGGCCGTCACTACGAACGCTCGGCGTGCACTACCACCACCACCACAGGGCTTTAATACTTTTTGTTGCACTTCCACCCCCCTGCAACTCCCATTAGCACGGTAGGCTACGTACGGTGCGAAAGAAGTTCAACATCTGTACAATATCCTTAGTTCTTTCGGTAAAGTCACGTTGAAGGGAAACAATAAAATAATAAAATATATATAAAACAATAAAAATTCTCACGACGTTTCGACCATAACACAAACGGTCGTCTTCAGGTGTGTCGTTTGCATAAATGTATTTATTTTTAAACAGTGTATTTATTTCTTTATAAAAAAACGTTAGCGCCACGCGCAGCGATTTGGCAGTTTATTTAGGACTAGTCCATCTATGTTCTGAAAAGAGGAGGGGGGAGACGAAAAATTGTTTAATGTATGCTGTCTGAAAGCCACTGTAAGCGTGAACAATCAATTAAGACCTGAAACGGTTTATCAAATCTTTCCAATGATTGCTAAGCCAGAATCCATCTTCTCGGTTGAAATTGTCTCTGTGCTTGTATATGTGGATAGCCTCATGAACAAATCTCTCATGGTAGCCAGATGGCTTACAAAGAACCTCTGTCTTGGAAAAGTCAATGTCATGTGAGCCTACTTTGTAAGCCATCTGGCTACCATGAGAGATTCGTTCATGAGGCTATCCACATATACAAGCACAGAGACAATTTCAACCGAGAAGATGGATTCTGGCTTAGCAATCATTGGAAAGATTTGATAAACCATTTCAGGTCTTAATTGATTGTTCACGCTTACAGTGGCTTTCAGACAGCATACATTAAAAAAAAATCGTCTCCCCCCTCCTCTTTTCAGAACATAGATGGACTAGTCCTAAATAAACTGCCAAATCGCTGCGCGTGGCGTTAACATTTTTTATAAAGAAATAAATACACTGTTTAAAAATAAATAAATTTATGCAAACCGACACACCTGAAGACGACCGTTTGTGTTATGGTCGAAACGTCGTGAGAATTTTTATTGTTTTATATATATTTTATTATTTTATTGTTTCCCTTCGACGTGACTTTACCGAAAGAACTAAGAATATTAATTACTGCAGTCACGAAAGCTTTAAATCAAAATCTGTACAATACTAACGCGTAATTTACTGGTGCCACGGATGTTGCGACTAACCCTGTCGTTTTGAAATGGAGCAATGGAAAAGATTCCCCACCATACTCATGGGCGAGCATGCCTCTCAAATAAATAAACAAATACCGTTTTCACATGCAGAGACATTCCCCCCCCCCCCCCCCCCCGTGTAGCCTGCCGGCCTTCGTTTAATGAATTCATTTAATGAAGGCCGGCACGGTACACTAACACGGTACACAGCAGCACGGTACACTAACACGGTACACTAACATGGTACACACTAACACGGTACACCAGCACGGAACACAGTAACACGTTACACAGCAGCACGGTACACTAACACGGTACACTAACACGGTACACACTAACACGGTACACCAGCACGGCACACAGTAACACGTTACACAGCAGCACGGTACACTAACACGGTACACACTAACACAGTACACACTAACACGGTACACCAGCACGGCACACAGTAACACGTTACACAGCAGCACGGTACACAGCAGCAGTCATTTCTCTGGCAGTGAAAGAAGTGATTGTGTGCACAGAATGAGAAATGCAGTGCTGCTGTTGCGAGGTAGGCAAATTTCCCCCCCTAAATTATCCAATTAGTGGGGCTAAGATGCTTGCAGTGACGGATGAGTGTCGTTCGCGGGTCAATCCGATGCGGTGGGTCTCGTGTGACCATGGGCAAACAATCCCCCACCCATAAACATAAGAGCGCTTATCTTAATTAAACGTTGGCAATGTTCATTACAACGGTACTGAAATGTATTACATTACCAAGTTGCACAATATTGTTCAGTGCTGCTCAACGACAGTGTCTGGACCCATCGGCACGGTCCAACTTTTCCGTGTTTACAAATCTATTGTCCGCTTAAACACAAATTAATCCGCTGCTACACCTGGTGCTTAGCAATCACGGAAAGCTGGTTACCGTGGAGGGCCGCGAGCACTGGACCTTAAGGTGGTGCTGCTCGTGGTTGGCATGGGAAATCGCTTGCTTGTACTACTGCTGCTGGCAGAAAGTGAGAGTTCAATGGAGCCCTCCTAGAAGGTTGGCATGGAGGGGGGGGGGGGGTGGCTGTGGCTGTCGTGCGATGGCACCGCCTGCACACTTGACGGCAATGCCACGGCGTCGAGGCACGTTCGTGGATTGCGGGCTGCGGTAGCGGCGAAGCGCGGTTGGGCATTGTGAACGCCGCCAACGGCCGATGTCGTGTTTTCCTTTCCTTCATGGCCGTGTCAGTGGTGGCGGCGGCGGCGGTGGTGGCGCTATCGTGATGGTGCAGGGGACGCAGACCCACTCGCAAACGGTGGGGAAGGACAGCCCCGTGAAGGCGTTGGACAGGTACTCGGTGTACATCTCGTTGGACACTCCCTCCAGGTAATACTTCTGCCAAGTGTCCTCTTCGATCTGGTGTGGCAAAGGGACACGCAGAAGAGCACGCAAAGGCGCACACACACATACACACATACACACACACACATACACACATACACACACACACACCCACACAGACACATACACACACACACAGACACATACACACACACATACACACACACACACACCCACACACACACACACCCACACACACACACATCACACACACACACACACCCACACACACACACACCCCACACACACACACCCACACACACACACCCACACACACACACGGTCGCATCGAATTGCATTGCTGGACATGGTCCGGCAAGATGTGGCGTAGCCGCCGAGAACAATAAACCACTGCAGTTCTTGTTCGTGGTGTAACTGTCATTTCTGACAAGCCGGCTGCTGTAAGTGTGCAAAATGCCCAGCGAGAAAACCGTAGCCTGGGGAGGCACGCATCCCCATTGTCAATGGCATCGACCCCCAGGGAGCGTGGTGATGCCGGTGACAGCGGCACGCTCGCCACGTCTAATAACACGTCTTTTGTTTTTGCTGTTGTGTCTTTTCCTACAATTTTATTGCCAAATTGTACTGTCAGTGCCGTGAGACAAAAACTAATCTCAGAGTGGTGCAGTGTTGGGGTGGGGGGGGTTGGAGGGGACGCTCCGAGGGGAATGAGATATCACAGAACTACTGTTAAATGTCATCAAGTGATGTGTCATCCACACGAGGGATTCCGTATTTTCTCACCCTCCCTGCTACAGGAGGCCATTGTTTTTTTTGGTTTGCCGCACGGCATTCAAACCGATTTATATTTAACTGCGAGCTGGAAATAATCCAAATGTAAGTGCAAGGCCAAAGTTGACACACTCGCTTTTCATGCACGGTCATTGGCAGCTGGCCTGAGATCATGGGCTCGCTCCTCCTCGAGGAACCCGGTATTAAGGCACACGGGTGACCGAAAACCCGGAATCGAACCCAGCCTCTCGGCGGCGCTGACTCAAGGCTCTGACCCCCTAGCTAGTGGGTTGATGGCCGTGCTGTGCGCTTTGACTGACACCTTCGGTCAATCACACGCGGTGGTGCGACCCCCCCTGGGGACTCGGGACTATTCTGGGTGTCTTTTTGAACGCAATTCTACACGCAGCGATTATAAATACACAATACAGTATGTTGTTACGTCCCGGATGACAAAAGGGCTATAAATAGTAATATAACAAAATAACGGCGCACAGGACGGAACGCGTCCGAGAGGGACGTCCGACCGAAGGAGACGGAGCGATGAAATTGGTTCCCGTGTGCAGGTGCTGGGTGCATCGTTTACAGCATACAGATCGCGAGAGGTGGCGGCGGCTGCTTGGGAAGGCCTTCATCCAGCAGTGGATTGACCACAGCTCATGGTGATGAAGAATACAAATCACAGCCTATGAATAATATCTGTCGGACATAGCGTGATGTTCCGATGGGCACCTGGTGGCAGATGCAACATTTTAAATATAAATCTGCGGTCAACAGCAGTTGTAGGTATTACCGACCGATGCAAATCAAGCCGGCAACTAGAGCACGCTGAGATGCACAAGGGATGCCGTATTCTCCAGGCAACACTGTGGGCGTGTGCCACCTTCTGTGTGAGATCTTTTAATCCAGAGAATACAGTCAGATGTATATTTATTGCCGGTGCGGGGCAGGGGGTTGCATTGTTATAGCTTTATCTCTTAAAATATGAATGTATTTAGTTATGAGCCATGCATATACATAGATTTAATAAGCATCTAAATATGCTGTGTGAAATTATAATAATTCGCAGCCCTGTGTTACTCCACCGCCGTGTTGATCATGGAGGGGGGGGGGGGGGTGCCTTGACCGTACATCATCGTACTGGGCGCTACAAGCTGTGAGGATGAGCAGCATAGCTGTAGTAGCATAGAAGTACAGTACAACAATATAGGTTGCTTGTCTGTTCCCTGTGCAGCAGCCTATAACACTTGTCACACAGGGTTGTTGTCCATCCAACACCTGCTTGGCTAGCCAAGATCTGGCAAGATTGTAACATTCCCAGTGACTTGATCATAGGCTGCACCTTTGAGTATTTTCTAGGTGAGGATGAAGAGTGGCAGAGTTGTATCCCAATGTCTAGACAGAACAAGAGTGCAAAGCCAGATACTAAAAGCAAACTGCAGCTGTCATGTCCAAGTGATGTTTGCTCAAACGATCATTGACGCAGTGCTCTCCTGCGTACGGCTCTGAGCCAGTGATGGACTTTCCACGTTCCCATGGCAGACGACCACCAAGTGGTGCTTATTTTATTGAGCACAGAGGGGTGCGTCAATCTCCGACCCAGGATTCTAATTCGGGGCCTTCCGACTCACGAGCCGCTCAATCGCGCGGAGCCACCTGGTCGGACGACACGACCGCTGTGCCCGTGTGTGTGTGTGCGCGCAAACATTGACCTTCTTTCGCACCGTACGTAGCCAACCGTGCTAATCGGAGGTGTGGGGGAAGGACAACAAACTAAACACAAATAGCAGTTCTAGAGGAATGAGTTTTCAGGCTGGATTATAAACGAGGTACGGACGTGGCCAGCCCTTGACGCGGCGCAGCGCATGCCCCGCCCACTCGGTTTCCATCCCTTACTGGCAGCGTGGCTTGACGGGACGAGGCCACCGTACTCGCGTTGGAAGTGTCACCAGCGCGTTCGCACATCTACAGGTGCCCTCGAAGTAGCCCCTAGGAGACACGGCGGCCTAAACCTCTAAGTGTTCATTCGATTTGCATCCTCCGTTTGTGGAAGAAAAAAACTAAAATCCAAGCGGACCAAAACGCGGTGCCCCTCCCCTTATTAGTCAGAATTAAAAACCCGCGTGGACACTCCCCCAGTGTTCGTGCCGGGCGGTGTTTAGCCTGCCACTGATTGCGTGGGTTGTAAAGAGGTAAAGGTGTGGCCCTGCAATTGCTTGCTCGTGCGCATGTTGACGGAGAGCGGAGTTCAATGGAGCCCCCCCTTCTATAAAATGAATTTTGGCCTACTCTTCCATGCTAGCCAGGCGTCTTTCAGGAAAGAGGGTGGGAAATACCCCACACTTCTCCTCGCCACACATGACCTGCTGATCGACTAAGCGTGGCGTACGCATTTGCACTGCCACGCCGGGAGATTGAACCGGTGACCTCTGGACTGTATAATATATAATATATCGTAAATATAATTATACAGTGAATATTGCAAGAACCAAGGTAGCATCCCCTGACTTGCTGAATATTTTCTGTATATGCTGTTAGGCTGGCTTGGAGGTAGGAATTATTGGCATAAGTTACCACCATGAGCCTACAAGGTTATACCTATCAACAGCAATGCTAAACGATCACAGCCAATGTTCCTGCGATCCTACGAAATTGTGTGCGTGGATAAATAACGAGTAAAAATACGTTTAGTTTTTGTTTGTTTCTTCTCGAAACAGCGAGTTTTGATGCTCGCCGGTTTGGGCCACGCTCACCTTGATGTACGAGCGCATGGAGAAGAGGTTCGCGAGCATGGTGGAGAGGCCGGGCGCGAGGCAGCTCTGGGCGATGAACCCAAGCTTGAGCTCGGCGAGGCAGATGGCGTCGTCGCCCTCCTTCCAGTTCCAGCTCGGGATGTTCAGGAGGTGGGCCTGGACGCAGGGGGAGCAACAACAACGGAGCAAGTGGTGTTCAAGCCATCGCAGGTCACAGCAACGCTCGCACACCCACTCACCACACTGCAGGTCACAACAATTCACCCACCCGCTGACTTGGCTACCTAATCATTCACCCACCCACGTGCCCACACACACCACACTGCAGGTCACATCAACTCACCCACCCACTCACTCTCCACACTGCAGCTCACTTCTCTTTCTGCTTATTCCCACCTACGGCTCCACCTTTGAATTCCCTCCCACCGTCTCTTTCCCCAATCTCTTACAATAACCTCGCCAAATTCACGGAACGTAAACTCTCGTCTTTTACAACGTTGCTCGTGCTGTCTGCTGGCCTACGGGCCTATTGCTCAGCAAGTGTTACAAAAAAGTGTATGAAAACTAAATACTCATTAAATATATATAACAGCAGCATAATGACGGACCCAATGGTGTACGCAGACGGCTGGAATATAAGTTCTGCAGATAAAGCACTAAAAATAATGTTGCACAGGGTGTATTGTGTTGAACCAGGTAAGAACAGGAAAGAGCAGGATTAGCCTCGCGTGCAAGAGCAACCCGAGTCAACACAATGACAAAAGTAAAACAACCAAAACCCACGGCCACACGACGAGAAATTAATCGTGGAGTTGGATACAATGTTGATCATCGTGTGCAGTTGGATACAGTTATTGTGAGCAGGGCTTAATCACAGGTGAGCTGGAACCCGGATCTGATCTCAGGGTCTTAGCCATGCCCCTCGGTACTCTGACCTCTGAACCACCTCCCCAGTCCTGGCACTTCGTCTTTTTGCCGTTGGATTTTGGGGCCGTGTGTGCGAGGAGAGAGCATTCGTGTGGTTATTGCAGAAGATGGATGGCGAGCTGGTACCTTATTGTGGTACTGTTGCATCTGGGTAATGACTCGGATTCGGGGATGGTAGTTTTTTATGGAGATGACCCTGCAACAACAAAAGCGGCACGGCCCAGCAAAGCCCAGCGACAATTCAATTCAGACGGACGCACCAGTGCACAGATGCGAGCACAACTCTAGACTCGCTTGCAAGCCACGTGGTTCACCAGAGCGAGCGCAGGTTACAGCACTGCGATCACTCGCCCACGCCACTGCCCTCAGGAGGGCCTCCACCAGGGTGACCTCCAGACAGGCCTTCTAGAGGGGATGTCACCTAATCCGTAGACACTGGACAGATGCCTTGGAAGAAGTCGGAGTACCCACACTTTACCCCACCGTATGCAATCTGACAATCAGATAACTGCCATGTACACATTGATACTGCTGGGTGGACAGACAGAGGTGGCGTGATTTTAAGAAATCTGCCCCATTGCTTTAAATGCTTAAAGTGAATTGAACCGGCGACCTTCAAGTCCGTGGCAGCATCGCCAAACTCGGCCAACTCCGTGGGATGGGAACCAAGTGATGTTTGGCTGTTGGCTGTGGCCAATGCTGCTGGCGCACACCAAACCCACCCAGCAATCCGGCCACACAGCCAGCCCCTCCAGCCAGCCACTCACACACCCAGTCAACCGGCCAGCCCCTCAACCAGCTCCCCATGCCATCCACTCAGCCACTCTGACCCCCAGCGTCTCACGCAGCCGCCCACGGCACTCCCTCAGTCCACTGCTTTGTGTTTAGTTGTCCTTCCCCCCGCACCTCCGATTAGCACTGTTGCAACATACGGCGCGAAAGAAGTTCAACATACACACGTAGTCGGCCACCCATGCATTAAAGCGTGTCCGACACGTTCGTGCGGACGCGTGGCAGTGAGCCTGCCGTCCACTAAGGGCGCTGGCCCCGGTGCCACTCGCTCGCTCGCTCCTCGCGATCGCCTCATGATGTTGGAGGCGTCCTCGGCGTCGGGATCTCCACAGTATTTGTTGGCGAGGATGAGGCACGCGTCTGGCCGCCTCGATCCTGCATGCGGCACCCCGCACACGCCGGGACACAACGAAAACAATGACGACGACAGACAATCACATGTGGCGAGATGTTAACTACCTCGCCTGGTATGCAGGAAGTCGTGGGATCGATCCCGACCCTGACACCTGCTGTATATTTGGAGTTCGCGTGGATTTTTCTCCAGGTCCTCCGGTTTTTCCCTCCACGTTTTAGAATCAATGTGCCATCAGAGAATTTGGCTGTTGCTCTAAATGTCCACGTGACGGTGATGAGCCACTTCGTTGAGCCATCATTTGTGATACCCGGGTCGTATCTGAAAAAGAGCTACGTAGCTCAGTGGGCCTTGGTAAAATAAAACAATAGTTTCGTTTAGATCCACCACGGTTAGCGTTGCCAACCCTCCCACATTGGCGGGGAGTCTCTATGGGAGTTGGCGTCGATCTCGTGGTGGATATGGAAATAAATTCCGGGAGATTTTAATAAATAGGATGTTTTAAGAAAATTAATATGAATGCACATAATTCACCCGCAAGTGCTTTAGTTGTTAATACAACGATTTATCATTCCCTTGACAGTGCAACCACTGAATACGTAATGTATGCTGTCATTACGCCAAGTTGGAGAGAATCTCCCCAGAACTCTGAATTCATTCAGAGTTTGCAACCCTCACCACGGCGCCTCTGTCCTCTCCAAGTTACATTTCCCCACGTTATAAATGTTACGGTGAATATTCTGTTCTATTCTGTGCGTGATGGCAGCAGCAATACATTGAGGAGCTACATGCCAAAGTGGAGGTCTGCTAGCCACGACGAGAGGGCTTCAGCTGGGAGTTAATGAATGGAGCATAATGAATAAATGAATGAGATGCGGTCAGATTCCAGCCAGTGTGAGTTCACGACGGGTCGCCAACTTTCACGTTAATCTGACAAAAAATTCGAAAGTTAGACTTGGCTATGAATTTCTGAATAATGCGGAAAACCAAAATCAGTTTTGGGATCCCAAAAACATGACGCCACAGGAATGGACACCACTTATATTGTGCTATGAAGCCAGGGCCCATGCCCGAAACGTTGGCAACTTTCCAAATACATACACATACACACATTGATCCGGGTGGAGACGGTACGCTCGCGATCGCCGCCAGTGCGGAGTGCAACGGAGCGCGCTACCTTGACCCGCGCCAGGTCGTGGGGATTGAGCACGGAGCCTTGGTAGAACTCCACCTGCGTGAAATGTCGCTTGAACAGCGCCTCCAGCTCCAGGTTCGGAGAGATGCTGCGGACGAGACGTCGACTTCTCCGAATCTATCCAGACTTTTTTCCCCCCCGTATAATCCGTGCGTGTCTCTCGTGTCGGGGAGCTGGTCCGTGGAAGCGGACATCGCAGAGCTGCCTCCGAGAGGCCTTCAAGGGGCCTCCGGTTCACACGGCGGAGGGCAGCGAGAGATGTGTGGAGATCTTCATCCGAAATTTGGCAGACATGCACCCTGACGCTGGCACACGACGGTGCTACGCTTACGAATGACGTCACGGGGATCTTTAACGTCCACTGTGAGTGAAACAGATGGCGCGTAGTGTTGTTATGAGTCTAACACCTGCCAGTGATAACCAGGGCGGCCAATGGATTCGAACTGTGAACGCACCACAACGCGTGTGGTGGTCAAGGACTATGAGTACGATTTTGGGCCTTTTAGGGGCAGAAATATTCACCCCTCACCCACTCGACTCGCTCACTCGATCGTTGCGATTCAGGGTCACGCTTCCATTCAAATATCGATTATTTCTTAACATTGTTATGAATTAAATTTTGATTTAAAGCTTTCGTGACTGCAGTAATTCATATTCTTAGTTCTTTCGGTAAAGTCACGTTGAAGGGAAACAACAAAATAATAAAATATATATAAAACAATGAAAATTCTCACGATGCAAACCAACACATCTGAAGACGACCGTTTGTGTTATGGTCGAAACGTCGTGAGAATTTTTATTGTTTTATATATATTTTATTATTTTGTTGTTTCCCTTCAACGTGACTTTACCGAAAGAACTAAGAATATATATTGTTATGAATTGTTGCCCAGGGGGAGCAGGAACACATTACCTATAATGCAAGCGAATTGAAAGAGACACGGATTCATGCACGTGTATCGTGAGCTTGAGAATCGATTAATCCGTGTACAAATCGATGCGTTGTTCCACCTGTATTTGTGTTACAATTGTTAAACTTGCGTTACACCAGCAGTGGGAATAGGGGACATGCCGCGAGGTCTGTAGTGCAGTGAAATTACCCAACTGCGACCCACATGTACACGCACAGGCTTGTCCATCTTGCTTCATCACGTTTGGTGCACAGTAAAGGAATTAAGCAAAGCGTAGACTGGGCATTTGAAATCGACGCCTCCCCACTGAGTAATGCCCCCCCCCACTCCCTGCCTCCCCCACCCCACACCCCATCAATAATAATAGGATTCGTGGATAAGAGGATGACGGATGGGAGTGGTTTCTTGCCACTTTATCCATCACGATGATGAGCGAGGCTACGATTCTCGCACGGTCGTTTTGAGTCAAATTCACAGCCTCGGTCTGGGAGAGGTCACGGGGGAAAAGGTGGGGGGCCCGTGATGTCCGCCTTAAACGTTAAATTACATTTTAAATAAAATAAAAATGGCAAATTCTTTTTCAATGAAATATGTTGGTGAAATTAACAATTTTTTTAAGTAAAATAAAAATAATTAATAGCAATCCCACCACCACCAAGTTCGCTGAGTGCGCCACACAGGAAGCAGAGATCCCCGGATGAGTTGCGCCTCATAAATGTAAATAGTTATTTAAAGAAAGCACCTAATGGAAGGCGTTTCCATGGCCACGTCCAAGATTCCACAGAAGTTATCAAAATTCGCGATTTATCCGTGGCGACCTGCGGTGACCTCCGCACCGCCACAACGGCAGCAGCAACGCGAGTGATGAGGGGGCGGGCGGCGCTCACTTGTGCAGGAAGACGATCTCCACGTTCACGTCGTCGCGGTCCTTGTGCAGGAAGTCCTTGAGGAAGTTGGAGACGCTCTCCAGGGTTATGTGCCCACACACGACTATGTGTCTGAGGAACGCAAACAGCGCAGGGCGCGGTTATGAACGGTCGGCCGGCGTTCGTTTCGCCCCTTTTCCCATTCCGATGGCGTACGTGAAAAACTAAACTCGACTAACTTCATCGGTACCGAGGCTCCCGCAAGGTCATGCGGGAGGGCGTGTGGCACAGTTTGGCGCCGGCTATCATAGAGTGCGGTCATGTCGCTCCGGTCCTCTACAGCGAGTCAAAAATAACGGGGCTATGCCTATAGTTACTGGCAAAGGAGGTCTCATAACGGGCTATGCCTCTCTAAAATAAAATTAGCGCCGAGCCGCCTGCGCGTTCTGAGATTCAGCGGCGAACAGGACACCCACCCCGCAGCTTGCGGACGTGTCGGAATGAGAAAGGATTTCATCGGCATCGTCGCCACTTTTCCACTGGCCACATCCGTGCCGAGCCGGCGCAGGCCCTCGCGGTACAGGGGTGGTCTTTCACTGCCAATTTGCAGGCACCGAGTCGCAACCGAGTCGTGCTATGCTGGCCATCTCAGTCTGGCTCGGGGCCAAGCAGGGCCAGGAGCTACTAGAGCATTCTCGTTGCGTGTGCGACGTCGATGAGGAGCACGGCGTCGCTGCGTCGTCTCACGTGTGGCCCCAACGGTTTCTGCTCGGCTTCTGCAGTGGAAACCAACGTGGCCCTTCGCTGTGCCGTGCGAGGCTGGCTGGGCACGCCATGGCACGGTTCGGTTGGTACAGTGGGGGGCAAAAAGGTATTCTGTTGTAGTCATATTTTTAGACCAGACGATGGCAATCTGTAGAATTTTAAAAAATATGTAAATCGCGTGAAAAATTTTTTCAGTTATTCTCAGCATCCATTTGACTCGAGCAGTCAAAAATTTTGCCCAATCAAAGTGATTTAAGTGTTGGCGTGGGGCACGAAATTCCCCTTTTTCGATAATCTGGGGTCGGGTACTCTGAGAACAATGTAAACGCTACATTTCATTGTGTTCTGAAAAAGCCATTTCCAGTGCATATCATCATCCATGATCTATCCACTGCTGGGAAAATGTCTACCAAAGTTCTTGCTCTCTCTCAGGTCTTATTCATCGAGCTGCACACAAACTGATCTCGTCGTGTCTTCTCCACCCTGGATGCCCTCCCATTGACTGCTACTGCGTCGAAAGTCTCCAACAATGGCTATAATATTCTTAGCTCTTTCGGTAAAGTCACGTTGAAGGGAAACAATAAAATAACAAAATATATATAAAACAACGTGACTTTACCGAAAGAGCTAAGGATATGAATTACTGCAGTCGCGAAAGCTTTAAATAAAAAAAAATGGCTATAATCTCTTCTGGTGACGTGTCCAGCCCAAATTCCTTGACTTTAAACAATTCTATGATCAATAATTTATTCTTTCTGTCTGTCTCTTAAGTGTCATTACAAGTATGCATCTCTCCATGCTTCTTTGCACACTTTTCATAGCTTGTTCCACTTTGTTGGTCAATGTCAAATGTTTCTGATCCCTGTGTCATTGCGCGTGTTCTACAACCGATGAACTCATCTCTTTTCGCTCCCGCGCAAAGCACCGCTCTCGTGCCTGACCTCTGTGCGGTATTTTCCCTTCCTCCTGACATTTTCCCGCTCGTGTGAGGTTCTGCCATCCTGGTCCTCTTTCTGTAATCGTGTCTGCCTCGGGCCATCGTCTCCCACATCCAATTCGCAGTCCTTCACATCCTCGTTCACTGCCTGGATCCACCCCTCTCGAGGCCGTGCCTCTCAGTCTCCGCCCCAGTGCTTCTATGTTCATCGCCTCTCTTCCCATGCGGTGTTCCTCTCTTTCAATGACATCCTCGCCATCCGAGTCGACTTTCTCTCAGCTTGTCTGAAATTAATACTATTGTCTTCAATGTTTGAGCCGATCCAGTCTTGCAATCCCCGAGATCTCATCTTATCATCATTCCTGTGGTGCACAACTTCCGCTGCTTCCTGGCTGTGAGTCTAACATTCAAACCCTAGCATAGTGCTTTGAGCTGAACGTAACAACAGCCGGCGAGTTGAAAATGCTCTCATAACCATTGGGGCCTGGCTCATCCTTCATTGGTCAGTCCAGAGTCCGTGGTGGGAATTCCACATGACTATTGGTTGGGGAGAAATTTCCATGGAACAGCCACTCGTGAGAATAATGACGACCGAGTGGCAACCAGGGGAGTGAACGCGCCCAAAGGGACGCCCACCAAGGAGATCGAGTGAATAAATCCGCTCGTGTGCAGGTGCTGAGCGGATTGTGATTACATCGCAGGATCGTGAGAGATGGCAGTGGCATGGGGAGTCCTTCATCCAGCAGTGGATTGATAACGGCTGCGTGATGATGATGGAGGAGCCAGTTCTGAATTTCTACAAAATGGTACGACTCAGCGGAGGGGAGCATCAATCTCCGCATAACGACACGAGAGTGAACATTCTTTTCGGCAATACATAAACCAATCGAACATAATTAATCACGCATCGCGTTAGAAGGCAGTGCTGAGGAATGTGCTGATTGTGAGTCGTGCCCTGTGCATCTCTCCCAACGCAGTGCGTTCTTATCGCTCTTATCGTTTGTCCCACGAAAATTACGTTCAGATATGAAAACAATTGACCTTGATCTTACTACAGCTTGGCAGGTCCACAATTTAGGCCACCTCTCGGTCGAAAATGGCACGTATAATACACACAGATGTTATTTGAAAGGTAATTATCTACATTTGTTGATAATTACGGATTCTCTGTGGAACAAGTGGGGGGTTCGACTGGCGCGCATCAAACGGAATGCACCACCACCATCCCAGCGTAGATGAAAGCGTCACTTCGTCCAAGTACATCCGGCACAGCGGAAATTTGAGCGCATTTCTCCCCTACCAAGAAAGGTGGACACGTCATTTCCCCCCCCCGATGTGAATTACGGTTCCTGATTGCTTGATGTGGTATGCCCAAGGAAAACACCACCTGGTGATCGTTCCGATGAAAATTCTGGTAATAAGCGCCCGATGATGCTGGATGTAATTGACAGGGAAACGTCGTACTCAAATTGTAAATGTTGTGGATTTACTCTTAAACACACCGGTGGGCTGAAGTAGTAACTAATTGTCACATTTTGTTTAAGTGACAAACGTTACTAATTGGCTGTGTTGGGTGCTGGCGTTATCAACGACACTTTCATACTTAGGCGAACTAACCAATAATACCTTAATTTTGAATATTGGGCACGAAAGCCTACGTGACAAATTGACCCGCAACCCCACACCTTTTAAATTGTGTCCGCAATGTGCATCCTAATTTGCGGAACTGCCCAGCTGCATCATCGCTTTCACACCTCTCCATCTTTCTGCTTCTTTATTCTATTTACCAATCGTAATGGGAATGGGCAGAGCTCTATGGCTACGAAGCAAATTACGATTCGTAGCGGGAAGAGAAAAAAACCTCGACACGTTTGTCATCGCCGTGTTCATGTTATTTCTGCTTTCCCAATAAACATGGAACGTTGGGCCGAACTTCGTCCAACGGTTCTACCCACGCGCCAACGACGTTGCATGTTTACTTGGTGTGCACTGCTGCCAGCGACATGATCGGCAAATAATTTGTTTAGATCTATGGAGATTCATAGAGCAGTTGGATATGACCAGGGCTTAGTTTGAGCCGGAGTCTGTCCGGGTTAGCGGCCTGGACAATAGCATCCACTCCCGACACACAACATCCAGTATACCTCGCTGAGGCTTGCGCTACTAATCACGCGCCGAACCCCAGTAACTAGTGACCTGGAACAAAAAAATACATATATCTATGGAGAAATGAAGCCCTGGGTATAACACGAGTGAGTGTTTGTGTGTGAAGGGCACTGCCTGGCAGATGCACAGGTGATGTAACGTGTGCACGGAGTGTGTGAACATGGAGGGGTGCCAAGGGTTGAGATCAGCAGTGGATTGGCGAGCTGTAACGCGTTTATTGGAGATCACGAGCCGACTCGGACTACAAGTGGATGGAGTGGAACGCGGTAGACGCATATGACGCTTAGCGGGGGCTCTGGATCTGGCGCCTTGGCTTTCGCCTTCCCCCCAAGAAGCCAGGTGATTTGGCATTGTCATCGCCTGGTCACAAAGCAAACCGATGCACAGAAGGCTGGAAACTCTGCTGGCTGTTGATGGCGGTGGCTGCTCTTCCCGTGCCGACCTACTCTCCAGTCTTCTATTTTCTGCGTTACTTGCACTTCATTTTATAGATACAAATATTCGGGGTAGATAAAAATGTACTCATTTGTTTGCCGAGTAATTTGGCCGTTACAGTATGAAAATTGACTCAGTGAAACTCTGTTCCCCTAGCCGTCCGTTCTGTTGAATTCCTGTTGCTGTTCAAGGTCAGGCTTAAGACCTTTCCTCCTCTTCTCCCTCTGCCTAGCCTCGTTCTGCAAAAGCACCATGCTCACTGTTTCTGTGCGGCATATTGACATGCTATATTAATCAAAATTGTATTGTACCATTGCATAGTACTGCTGTAGTTTAACAGGTGGTGGCATTCTGTTCATATGCAAGCTGTATGGTACATTATGAGGTCCACCGTGGACTGCACAGAATTCCTCTGTAAGATTACATTCAGGGCTTGATTGTGAGCTAGGTCTGACCAAGTCAGTGACCTGGAAAATATTTCTACACACCGCACCCAGTATAGCTCTCACCAGTCTCAGGTTCTCGAGACCAGACCTTGACCTCAAGGTCAGCTCGAGGACATTTTCTCAGCTCTCATCCTTGCCTTGGCGTTCGCCCGAGGACTTGGCTTGGAGGCACCGGCCTTCACAATGGCCTTGACCTAGAGGATCCGGGCTTGACGCTGGATTCCACCTAGAGGATCCAGCCTTGACATTGGCCTCCACCTAGAGGATCTGGCCCTGATACTGGCCTCCACCTAGAGGATCTGGCCTTGACATTGGCCTCCACCTAGAGGATCTGGCCTTGACATTGGCCTCCACCTAGAGGATCCGGCCTTGACATTGGCCTCCACCTAGAGGATCCGGCCATGACATTGGCCTCCACTTAGAGGATCCGGCCGTGACACTGGCCTCCACCTAGAGGATCCGGTCTTGACATTGGCCTCCACCTAGAGGATCTGGCCCTGACACTGGCCTCCACCTAGAGGATCCGGCCTTGACACTGGCCTCCACCTAGAGGATCTGGCCTTGACACTGGCCTCCACCTAGAGGATCTGGCCTTGACACTGGCTTCCACCGAGAGGATCTGGCCTTGACACTGGCCTCCACCTAGAGGATCTGGCCTTGACACTGGCCTCCACCTAGAGGATCTGGCCTTGACATTGGCCTTCACCTAGAGGATCTGGCCTAGATACTGGCCTCCACCTGAAAGGCTTCTGGCATTGGCCTCGACCTCAGGTGTCCCAGCCTTGGATCCAATGCTGCCTCTCCCTCTGGCGGTGGCTGTTCATCACGTGACGACCCACTGCGGTCTTCCATTTGCTTTGTTGCTTGTACTTTCTTTTATTTGTTTTGGCTTTTATTGCACTGTGGCCCCAGGACACTTTTGACAAATGGGACTATATCCAGTTAATCTTGAGTTCACATCTGGTTAAAAAAAAACCATTTAAATTTGAAATTACTAGCAACCCAGCAAATATTCACTGAAAAATTAAGCCCCGGTTACCTGCGCTCACAAATAAATGTCGGTGGGTGCACATTCACTTGAATGCAGTGCAACAGTCGTAGTGGCACCAGACACGACATGCAAACATGCGCGCCGCCAACACAGCCGATTGGCATGACAGGAATCGTGCAAAAGCATTTGCGAGAAAAAACTCATTACGCCGAGCGAACGGACGCGCTCTCGATTGCGCTTATTACGAAACCTCCATCAGTGCATGTCGTAACAGCTGCTCCAGTCGGGCTAGAAAAAAATCGGACACAGTTTTTGGAATGCTGACGATCACCAAAGAGGTTTAAATCGCTGCGTGTGCATTCAAACCATTTCCGAGCCTTCGCTTACATAACATCTCGTGAGGCTCATCGAAATTAGTCAACAGCCACGTTTCATATTCAAATTTTAATCAGGAGTGTTACAGTTGTTGCTTAGGTCGCCCTCCTCTTGCCAGGTCTCTGTGCACGAGACGGTTCGTGTTACCAGCGAGCGCAGATTTCATCCGGCCAGGTGGCTCGTGGTGGGAGAGCGAGTGGCTTTCAAGCGGAAGGGAAGGTTGTGAGTTCAAAAATCCTCGTTAGGAGTTGACATCCTTCCGGGGTTGATGTAAAATTGATTCCACTTCGTGGGGGAAGTCAACAGTGGTTGTCCTATGGATAGATTCGCCCCTGCCATTGGAATGTGGAAATTGCACCAACTGGCTCAGGGATTGTAAACCGGGGATGAACTTGATCCTCATTTTAAGCAGCAGGAAATCACTGACTGAAAACGCAAGTTTAATACTCTGTTTCATTCTTTAAAAAATGGGACACGTAGCGCAAATAAAATGTGTGTCATAAACCCTCCTCCACCCGATGCAGTCACATGAAGAAATGTGCCAATGGGATTGCACAGATGGTGTTGCTGAAGCAGTTATGAACTTGCCACATTTGTTCACGCCACAAACCCTATTAATCAGCTGCGTCGGGTGGTGAAGGGTTTGCGACACACGTTATCTTACGTACGCAATCTAACCCGAAACTAATCATTTATGATTCATAACATTGGCTGCAGAAAGCTTATCCACAGCATTAGATGTAGTACTCACTCACTGGTAACATGTCCCATCGTGTTAAGACCCCCACTCCTAGTTTCGAAGGTGGACTCTAAATCAATGTTCTTCATAGCAAGGCCCGCGGGCCACTGGCGGCCCCCGATGGCCTATAGTGTGGCCCCCCCCACAATACACAAATGTGAAAAGACCCCTTCCAGGTGGTGTGGCGGCCCTCACGCTGCTGATGTATTATCGGCGAAAGTGCTCCCCCCTCCGAACATTAGTGAAGAACACTGGACTAAGTGGTCGGCGGAGACCGCCTGGAAGGCAGGCGGCCTGAGCAACAACGGGCGACGAAGTCACACGCGGAAAGCGATGATGCGAGTCGCAATCAGGGCTGCGGACACCTTGCATCCAAGCCACATCCCGTCAGCGTTCTTTACAAACGTTCGAGGCCGCATCGCTCATTCGGTCGACTTACTTTCTGCCCCGCGTCGGATTATATTTCCCACCGTATTTCTTCCGGTTTAGGATGAGCGCAGCGATTTCTGGCACGTAGCGAGCAAACATTGCCTACATGCATCATGGAATAGAAAGAGAGCATGCGGAGAGGTGTCTGCCTCTGAGCGTGGATGTTTAGGGGGGGCGGGTGAAGCAGGGGGCAGGGGGTGAAGGGAACATGGGGAGCATGGGGAGGATGGGGAAACCTCTGTGTACAGCATGCCATACTTACTTCCTTCCACTAACAGCACTATAGGTGCCACCATATTTCTTGCGGTTTCCTATTAATTCTATTATTTCAGGGACGTAGCTGGCAAACATGGCCTACAAGAGGAAAACAGGAGAGAAGAACAGACAAACACAGAGACTAAAGACAGCAAGTTTCGAGTGCAGAGAAGGAACTGAAGAGCTTAACTGTTGTCGGATGTTTCACAGTCCACCGGTTGTATCCGTGACCCGTGTCGCACACACACATATGCTCGTGAAACACGTGGTCATTTTCTTTTGCATTACTTTTACAAAATTCTTAAAGTTCAGATCGCAAATTGTGGATGTGAGTAAGATTAATGATTTACCCTTACGCGAGGCAATTTTTTTCCCCACGTGGCGCAATGAGCAGCGATTGCTTTACGGGAGAATTAAATTAATGTCGCGCTAGTTGCGTTTGCAACTCTGCAACTTTACTTTGATAGTAATAACAAAACCCAACAAGAACTCGTCCTGAGCACTTTTGAAAATGAACGGAAACGTAGGAAATAGCCGCCACGGTCACACGTCGAGAGCGGGGTCGGACACACGGAGACAACAAAGCATTGTTGTGAGGCCATGTTTTTGTTGTTGTTGCAACAAACATAAACCCGTGGAGGATTTCTTGCGATAAATGTTGTACAAGTGTGACTAATTAACATGACTGGCTTGCCAGTTAGAAGCGGGTGGGACGGGGGGGCAAAAAACTGGGCTAATTTGAAGCAAAATGCGAGTTTGTTTGCGATGAACGTCTTATCGGTTTACATTCACGGCTGCCACTGCATCGTGTGATGGTGATTCGATGTTTTATTTTTCAGCTTGTCCCCCATTGTAAATATCTGTGATTGGATGAAATGTGCCACCTGTAGCTAATTTTAAAATCGAAAGTGTGTTCGCATCGTAGCACGAATGCATTATATCCACGTTTGGGAGTAGAATAGAGTTTAGTTTTTTGGAATGGAGCAAAGACATATATATATACATTTTTATTCATCCTATCTCTTTTCCCAAACAGCTTTCATTCGAAATAAACGGACGGCACTTATTCGAATTTGAAAACGTTAATTGGAAACCTGCAGCTTGCGATGGGGAAATGGTCATAGCAATTACAATGCAATTGTCTGGGAAGCAACTCAAATCGTTATAACTTTGAGTTCACATGAAACAGTCGGGGGTATAGTCATCACTTTAAAGGGGACAAGAATTTTAAATGCCTAACACTGAAATGTGCCTGATGATGATGAAATGCCAAACCATCTCATGGAGAAATTTTACCAGCAAATAATTTAGTGTGGATTGAAGTCGTTTATGATGCACGTGATGCTTTGGCCGATTAAATTTAATTCCAGTAAAATAACAACCGTCACGTCAATTGTTTACGAAGACTCGAAGGCCTCATTGGAGTCTCAGCAAGGCTGTCGCTGCAGGAGGGTTTTGCTACATGGGGATGTTGGGCCAGGTTCAGGAACGGCTTCAACGCGGCAGGAACCCAGAGAACCCCGCAGACGACCCAGCGAATCAATTGCATTCTCGGGGAGGTGGTGTATTGTTGTTAGCAATCGTCGTGAAGTGTAATGTGTGTGTATGACGATGTCTCGAGTGAACTGTAATGAAAAGGGAGGAGGGGGTGTCATGCCTCGTGGATTAAAATCGATCCGTGCACCACGGTGCACCTTTGGATTGCGCACGTACGAACAAATGTGTTTCATTATTATTATTGCGTTGAAATTGTAGCATGTTCACCTGACAAACGCTAGAGCACTGCCATTCACCGCATCGTCAATGAAACGAATACATTCCTGAATCGATTCACGACCCCAATCCGAGATGGGACATCAAATTGTCCTGCGGAGATTTTTCTACGGTTGTTGCCGTACGACTCGCCGACGTGTTTTCGGGTTTGCTCCGCGATTTGCCCGCATGATGCCCGACGTTTCATTCCAGGAACCAAATGTTTTTTTTTTCTAATCAACCACTGATCTGCGTAGCTCTTTTTCAGAAGCGACGTGGCCACAAATGATAGCTCAACGAAGTGGCTTTTTCGCTGTCTGTTTGTACCAATCGAGCTCCTGAAGACGGTGCTCCCCAGCACGTGGGGCGGAACGTCGGACGTCGTACCGGACTGCGCGCGGCGGCATAACCCTGGCGCAACGTCGGGAGGGCTGTGTTCGTCGAATCGCGACTCAATTGTTGCGAGCCGATCGGTGGGGAGGGCCGATTCAATGGTGAGGGTGAGGAGGGGCAACCCCCTCGCAGTTTCTATCGCAACGGGAAACCCTCCAGTGGCCGTTATGTTTCTTGGCAGAGAGGGAAGACGAGAAGGGATTCACAGATCGAGGGGGAAGTCTGGATTAATACAGAAACCGCAATCCAATTAATTATAGTATATAACAACTTGTTATTATGATAATCAAACTGACTTAACAACGTACGGCCCTTTGCCAAGCCACTGCCATATGCGAGCTGGGTCAGTGATGAAGAGTTATTTGACCACTTTGGTCAGTGTGGGTGCAACCAGGAGCAGTCAGATAAAACTTGCCACTGAGTTTTAACCACGGCCGGGGAATCGAACTCGGGGAAACCAGGTTCGTAGCAGCGTAGAATCAGTGGCGAGCAGTATCTGAACGGGTTCTGAGCTCCCCCACCCCATCATGAAAAACACGCACTGACCAGCGTGGTGAAGTATGGTCAAACAACCCCACGACTGGTATGTCGGGGAGAGACATTAATCCCAGCAGTGGATTGATAAACGGCCAAAACTTTTAATGCCAATACAACAATGTTAATCACCACAACAACAACTACATCAAACAACAATGTTAATCACAACAACAACATCAAGACAAACCTGTGTTGATCCTTTTAATACAACACTGAACCGTAGCATTGCCACTACCCCACGGGTAATTATGACAGCTCGTTAAGATGTAAAATCGTTCCCATGGCCCTAAATTCTTTAAAGGCTAAAGGGCCTCCACGAGAGGGATCTCTACACAGCCCTTCTAGCATGTGATTTGGTCTACTCTTCTGTGCTGCCATGAATCTTGGAAGAGGTGGGAGGACCAAACACTGCACCCCACCACAACCTGCCGATCGACTCGTCTGTGGTCTATCGTATTTTGTAAATCACTTTCCTGGTTTAAATAAAAAGAAAAACCTGATCATTTTTTTCTAATCGCCTGCTATTTTACCCTCTAATCATTTAGTCTTCAAATATTTTCAATGCAATGATAATTAAATACCAATATTTGCATTTGTATTGTGCCCAAAATTGTAACGATACGTCTCTGCGCAGTTTGTCCTTGTGTGCGTCACAAGGTGACTGCATCAGCCGACAAGTGGGCATCGGTCTGCCACGAGGTCGGATGGGGGGTGTAACGATGATCACTATCAAAACAAATCATGGGCACTTATTTGGTATTCCCATGTGACAGCGCAAGGCCGTCGCATGGGAAGGCATTGATTCACAGACTATAGTCTGCAGTAGTTTTGCAGTAGGGGGTGATGTTATCATGCGCATTCTCAATTGAGTCAACAATATACATATTGTTACTTAGGCCATCCAATTTCGTCGGGCTTAGGGTATAAAATTACCTTCGTATTAAGCGGTTCTCTAATAATAAAACTCACAATATAATAGAAACATTTGTTTTTAAGTGCGCAGAGACGCGCGACCTCTCACCAGTCCCCCGAGGATGAAGAAGACCATGAAAGCCGTCCCAGGGTGGTCTTGGCGTAGACGTCCCCATAGCCCACGGTGGACATGGTCACCATGAGTAGGTAGACGCACTCCCAGTACGTCAGCTCCTGCGAGTTCTGGAAATTGTTCCAGGGGTCGCCCGAGTTCTCCACCTGCCCGCAGTGGCGCCCACTCATCATCATCATCATCGGAACCATCGTCACCATCGTCACCATCGTCATCATCACTGTCGTCAACATCGTCATCATAGTCTTTATCACCATCGTAGTCATTATCATCGTCGGCATTCTTATCATCATCATTATTATCATCGTAGTCATCGTCAGCATCATTATTATCATCGTAGTCATCATTGTCATCGTCAGCATCGCTATTATTATCGTCATCATCGGCATCGTCATCATCAGCAGCCAGAGTGATTCATTTTGACCGAGTCCATCCGGATCGGCGAGCCGGAAAAAGCTTCCGCTCCCCGGCATTGGAGTTAGCAAGTTGTCCCCGTGGAGGTCCGGTCCCGGGGATTATTCTGCGTTGACCCCAATGTATACCCCAAAGTCTATAACACCCATACTCTCTGGTTCTTTCGGTAAAGTCACGTAGGTAGAAAAATAATACATCACGACATTTCGATCGCAACACAAGCAACCGTCATCAGGTGAGACCGACACAGCAGGGGAATGCTGCCTACACAGAGAAAGGGGGAAACACTCCTTCGTCAGGATGTCCCCTGCTGTGTTGGTCCTCACCTGATGACGGTTGCTTGTGTTGCGATCGAAACGTCGTGATCTATTATTATTTTATACCTACGTGACTTTACCAAAAGAACCACAGAGCATGGGTTCCTGCAGTCACGAAAGCTTCAACTCTATAGACACCTGTTATGCATGGCAGTCACCTATCCAGGCACGATCCAGGCTCAACACCCGCTTGGCTTCTGAGGTCGAGCGAAAGTGGCTCGGACAACATCACCCGCAACACGCCTGACCTCGTCAGCAGGATTTGAGCCTGGATAGTGCTCGTATGGGCCTACCGCCCGTACGTACCAAGCGCCGGTGGCCAGGAGACGGCAGTACGGCAAACACCGATGTTGTATTCTACCGACACTGACTGGCGCGGTCGGAACCGCCAAATACCCCAGCATTCACGCGGCACGGGGAGGCCCTAATCCAGCTCGGACTTGAATGAGCGCCGTGCGTGCGCGCGTATGAACGCTCGCTGGCGGTGGTTTTGGTTTTTATCGGACCGACCGCGATTCGAGACGGACGCGAGAGCGAAGCCACAAACGCATACCAGGGGATGAAGCCAGCCGCCGTCAGCCACGTGCTGATGAAAATGGACAGCAGGTTCACCAACTTTATAGAGTTGCTGGAAAATAGAGAGGCAACGACACATCTGTTAAATACAGTGAGGGAAAAAACGTATTTGATCCCCTGCTGATTTTGTACGTTTGCCCACTGACAGAGAAATGATCAGTCTATAATTTTAATGGTAGGTTTATTTGTACAGTGAGAGACAGAATAACAACAAAAAAAATATCCAGAAAAACGCATGTCAAAAATATTATAAATTGATTTGCATTTTAATGAGGGAAATAAGTATTTGACCCCCTCTCAATCAGAAAGATTTCTGGCTCCCAGGTGTCCTTTATACGGTGACGAGCTGAGATTAGGAGCACACTCTTAAAGGGAGTGCTCCTAATCTCAGCTTGTTACCGGTATAAAAGACACCTGTCCCAAGAAGCAATCAATCAATCAATTCCAAACTCTCCACCATGGCCCAAGACCAAAGAGCTCTCCAAGGATGTCCAGGGACAGGATTGTAGACCTACACAAGGCTGGAATGGGCTACAAGACCATTGCCAAGCAGCTTGGTGAGAAGGTGACAACAGTTGGTGCGATTATTCGCAAATGGAAGAAACACAAAAGAACTGTCAATCTCCCTCGGCCTGGGGCTTCATGCAAGATCTCACCTCGTGGAGTTGCAATGATCATGAGAACGGTGAGGAATCAGCCCAGAACTACACGGGAGGATCTTGTCAATGATCTCAAGGCAGCTGGGACCATAGTCACCAAGAAAACAATTGGTAACACACTACACCGTGAAGGACTGAAATCCTGCAGCGCCCGCAAGGTCCCCCTGCTCAAGAAAGCACATATACATGCCCGTCTGAAGTTTGCCAATGGACATGTGAATGATTCAGAGGACAACTGGGTGAAAGTGTTGTGGTCAGATGAGACCAAAATGGAGCACTTTGGCATCAACTCAACTCACCGTGTTTAGAAGAGGAGGAATGCTGCCTATGACCCCAAGAACACCATCCCCACCGTCAAACATGGAGGTGGAAACATTATGCTTTGGGGGTGATTTTCTGCTAAGGGGAGAGGACAACTTCACCGCATCAAAGGGACGATGGACGAGGCCATATACCGTCAATCTTGGGTGAGAACCTCCTTCCCTCAGCCAGGGCATTGAAAATGGGTCGTAGGATGGGTATTCCAGCATGACAATGACCCAAAACACACGGCCAAGGCAACAAAGGAGTGGCTCAAGAAGAAGCACATTAAGGTCCTGGAGTGGCCTAGCTAGTCTTCCAGACCTTAATCCCATAGGAAAATCTGTGGAGGGAGCTGAAGGTTCGAGTTGCCAAACGTCAGCCTCGAAACCTTAATGATTTGTAGAAGATCTGCAAAGAGGAGTGGGACAAAATCCCTCCTGAGATGTGTGCAAACCTGGTGGCCAACTACAAGAAACGTCTGACCTCTGTGATTGCCAACAACCGTTTTGCCACCAAGTACTAAGCCATGTTTTGCAGAGGGGTAAAATACATATTTCCCTCTTTAAAATGCAAATCAATTTATAACATTTTTGACATGCGTTTTTCTGGATTTTGTTGTTGTTGTTATTCTGTCTCTCACTTCAAATAAACCTACCATTAAAATTATAGACTGATCATTTATTTGTCAGTGGGCAAACGTACAAAATCAGCAGGAGATCAAATACTTTTTTCCCTCACTGTAACTTAAGGTCGTGGATAAATAATCACGCCGCGCCCGCGCTCGTCAACAAGGGGGGGGGGAACAAGCGTAAGGATCGTTGAGAGTCAACGATCCGAGACGCTTGTGTTCATCATCATGGTTCATCATCAACCATGATGATGCGTTCATCATCATGGTTGATGATGATGAACACATTCCTGCGGAGCGAGCTGGTAGGAACGCTGGGTTGCTCGGTCAATAGCCAGGGTCAATGGCGGCGTGGTGTATTCCGCAAATATGCCTGACTGTGAGGGCGGGCACAAGCTGGCGTGAGTAGGTTCAACGTTGAGTTTTATAAGGCCACCACGGGGTGACCAGCCCCTCCCACCCCCCACCCCTCCCCACCCCCCACCCAGCCCCACCCTCCACACCCTCCCCAGCCCCTCCCCACCCTCCCCACCCTCCCCAGCCCCTCCCCACCCTCCCCTCTCCACCCAGCCCCACCCCTCCCATTTTATCCGGGTGTCCGAATACACGTGGACAGACATCCACAGACATACACAATTAATCCCCTGCCTCCTGTGAATTAATCCCGGTTGGGCTTCCAGTCCACTACGTTTCCTACCAGTATAATGCTTTGTTATTTCATTTATAGGCGCTTTCTACCTTGATGACACGGTCAACAGCTGCAGGTCATGTGACTTTAGTCGACAGCAAATGGCACTTCTGGTACGAACACAAACTTACTACCAGTGCCATTCGGACACTTTGCAACTACGGTATTTAAAAACGACAATTAATACATATATAATGTCACAGAAATAGTGCACATTTATGTAAAAAACTAATAATTTACGGTACTTTATCAATCCGCTGCTGGATGAAGGCTTCCTCATGCTGCGCCGGTCATGGGATTCGTTTGATCATATGTCACCACTTTGGTAAGCGCGGGTCGGTAACGGGTGAGTGCACGGCTGGATGGGGACCAGTTCAGGCATCGCTCGCCACGGCCAAGAATCAAGCTCACGTGGCTGGTTCCGAGTGCGCAAACGACTGCCGCCACTCTCCCTCTGCCCGATTAAATGCAGCGCCCAAGCACTCACGGCTTAAATAAGAAGCCTTCAAGAAATGTTTAAAACATGTAAATATATACATAAACTTCAAATCTAGATTATATACATATCAGCAGGACATTGCCACTGAGCAAGTATCCCATCAGTGTTCTAATTCTAAAGCCCATTTTGACGTTTGAGACGGCCCGGGACACTCGTGCTAATGTAGCCCCCAAGTGTGACATTCAAGTGGATTATAAGGAGCTTAAAACTTGAAACCGTATTCCGCTCAGAAACTACAACCAGTGCCCTTTGCTGGGATCTCGCTACTCCCAGCGCTCGAGAAACTCGGACTGCTTTTTGCCATGCACCGGAGTCCTCTAGTGTCGATGGACTTCTCTTGCCCAATAACATCCAGCAGCGTTTGTTTAACAAGCTGCTGATGTGATCCAGAAGGTTGAAACTGGTCCAGAGTTTGCTTTGCTTGGGAAAAATGCTGCACGTATGTATGGAGAAAATTCTTTACTACCGTACGTAGGCAACCGTGCTAATTGGAGGAGCTTCATTAACTGCTCTTGGGGAAAGTAAATAAATAGGCCGTTTGACTAAACCACATGTTATATTTCCCCACGAAATCTAAGGTCGGCTAAGCTTTGTGTTTCAACGGACTAGTGAGACTTAAGGTGGACAAAAACTATACAACGTCAATCCACATCTGTGCTCGTCCGCGTGCGTATCTCACGAGCGCGCGAGCCGTGTGCATCGCGCGCCGTCGCGCGATCGCCGCGATCACCGTGCACGTTTTAACGTCGCGAGAGGGCAAGTGCTCGCAGGAGCACGCGCGAGAGGGAGGGGCGGGTGGCGGGGGGGGGGGTCTCACCTCGTTTTCAACACGTTTAGGAACTGCAGAATTTCAGAGAATTGTATCAGCCGCAAGGCCCTGAGAAACCGTAAACCTAGGGGAAAAAAAGACACAACACACAATTCTATTAGAACACAAAGTTACTGGCTGAAAATGTATATCTTTAGAACTGCTTTTTGTGCTTAATTTGTTGTCCTGCACCTCCGAATAGTACGGACTATGCACGGTGCGAAAGACCTTCAACATACATGCGTACGTACGATAACTGCAAGGACAACTCTCCTCTCTCTCCACCACTGCAGCCTGCACTGCTTCAATGGAGGAGGAGGAATAGCAAAACTACACAATCTCTTTCTGCTGAATCTCCGTCATTGTGTCCAGCAGTAGCGGCAGACCTCGACATTGGCACGTCAGCTCCTGAATCAGAGTGCAGCCATATGCAAGAATGGAATTTCAACCGGATTAAATTCACAAGTAGTTCCTGAAGGTGAAACCGCCAGCACGCGGAGCGAAACGTCGGACGTCGCCGTGCCGGGCAACACACGGTCAGCCCCGGAACCCCGCGGCGGCCTACGCAGCAGAGCTCGGCACAAACCACTCGCGAGGTGGTTTTGACGCTGTCCGCGCACGAGCGAACGGTCACCGTGACGTTCATGGCGAGCGGCGGCGCTTCTCACCCCAGTAGTGGAAGCCCTCGAGGTAGCGCTGGTACCCCCGCTGGCCCTCCTCCTTGTCCTGGCTACTGTCTTTCTTGACGCGAAACCCCTTCTGGTAGAGCTCGCCAAATGACTTCTTGCGGCGAGTCGGCTGGACCGTGTCGGAGTGGCCACCGCCGCTCTCCGCTCCGTGGTAAACCAGCATCTTGCTCGAAATCATCGTCGCTCGCCGGCGCGTTCACCTTCGTTTCGCTATTCAAATTTTCGTTTTAGTTTTTTTTCACTTCGGCCCGATGTCGCGACTGATCCACACCGCGAGCTGCTGAATTATCTCCGAGCGCCGTTCCGTACTAAAGCGGCCAGCCGCCGAGTGAAAAGCTGCACTCGCACGGTTCCCCGTCGCGTCAACGAGGAGTGCGTAGAGAGAGAGAGGGAGAGACAGAGAGGGAGACGGAGACAGAGAAGGAGAGAGAGACAGAGAAAGAAAAATAACTCGTGCTAACCCCGCGTCGTTTTATTTGCCACTGGCGGGGTTGAGCGGCCAGTGGGGAGAGGCAGTGGATGGACGAGTAAGCCCCGGTTGTAATGTTTTAGTGGCCGAGAGAAGCACTAATCCAGGAGGCCAGATGGCTTGGGATCCCAGCAGCTGTGTTTATGGGGAGCGGTGTTCATGGGGCTAAAAGGCTTTGGAGAGCCTTGTTTGTGGAAAGTTTCTCGTTTGTCAGAAGCGTCCAGTGCCTTTCCTGCGAGTGCCGCACGGCTCCCAGGCTGTACCCACGCGCTTTGTTGGGCGCGATGTCTGACGTTTTGCTTCCACGTATCATCTGGGAGCTTCTTCGGGGAAACTGGATTGAGCGGCCGGTTTTCTGCGTCCCCCCGATTATACGGCAAAGCGTCCGTGGATCACGCTTAGCAGCGCAGCCCGGAAGCCACGTCAGAGAGTCGGCTGCTTAAACTATTACATTATTATTTGATCAGGTAAGGCCCACTGAGCTATGTAGCTCTTTTTTAGAAGAAACTTATCACGTTAAAATGGATATCAGCCAAATACTCAAAACGCACGTTTCTAAATGTGGAGGGAAAAGCGGAAGACTCCGAGAAAAATCCACACAACCACGGGGACAACACGCAAACTCCAAATATACAGCAGGCGTTAGGGTCGCGATCAAACCCACGACCTCCTGTAGATCAGCTGAGCTAGTTAACATCTCCTAGCCACCGTTGCGCTTTTGGTGAGCTCCACCATGGATTGTCGTGGGATATGGCTTTGAAAATAATAGGAAAATGAATAAGAGCAGTGGTGGATGATTACTGATCACTATTCCAGGTCATCGGATTGTTAAAATAAGTTGATATCACAATTAATTTAATAATTCACTTTGTCCACGAGAGCCACACTGAGACTTTTCTTCAGGAGGTTTCTCTGTTAGGATTTAGTTCGAGGATATTTTCAGAATCAAAATCTGTATTTATACTGGAGGAATCCGATGAGCTATAAAGCTCCTTTTCACAGATGTCCAGAAGGCAGGGTTGACCGAATGATGATGAATGTTTATTATGCAAGTGGGAGGAAACCAGAGCACTCACAGAAATCACACACGCGCGAGGGGGCAACGCTTTATCCCCGTACAGATGGAAAGAGATGGCGATTCGTCCACTTGCTGTACTGCCTTCTCCTGGCGAGTTAGGGTATGGGACTCCCTCGACACCCACAGTGCTGGAGTACAGGCAGCCACGTGCATAGTCAACAGTGGTTGTCCAATTTGTAGACTCACTCGTGTCATAGGAATGTGGAATTTCCACCATTGGCTCCAGCGCTGTGAACAGCATATGAGCGCTGCCTCAACGATCGGTTTAGCAAGAGATCGCCTTCGCTGCTGATTAAGACGCTCGGCACTTTTGTCAATCCACTGCTGGATGAGAGTTCTCCCCATGCTGTGGGGATTTTTTTTTTACCAAACCAAACCACGTCGGTCAACTTGGCCCCTGATCCTTGTTCACACTTTGCAGACTTGTCCTAAAGCGTGGGGGGACGAAATCCCTCGGGTTAGTTTAACGTGGTTTGAGAGTGGCGGGACATTTTGTTTTCCCAGAGTTGCCCTCGTGTAGGGGTTACCACCTGTCCAGGTTTTACCTGGACGTGCGGCTTGGCCTACTCGCCACTCTGTTTAACCCGGACAGTTCGCAGAATGGCATCCGCGTTGGGGTGGCGGAATCACTTGATTTGTGCCGAGACCTGGTGCCGGAATTGTCGTTTTATTTTGTGTGAACTTTATTACAGGTTACTGCTACAGTTCTGATAGACCGAGGCCAACCGAGAAAAACAACAATAATAGAGAAACATGTCCGGATTTTGTGTGTGGGGACAAAGTGGCAACCTTACCGGGACAGCCTGCAATAAACTCCGGCCAAATCCTCCAATCAGATTAAAACGCTAATCTGCTTTACGGCACTGCCCCCCTGGGAGGCCGGTACAGTCCATCCCCTGCGTTGCGTTCACAAGCGAAAGCTGGATTAGTGCCGGCTCATTCTCTTCCGAGGAAACAAAAAGAGTGGGTGGCCAGGAGGGAGGGAGGGACGGACGGGCGACGGGACGGACGTGGGCCTGCCAATCCTGTCCGTCGCCACCCTCCGAGTCAACTGTGAGGGTTGGTCCATGTTGGACATGAAATAACTCTCTCCCTTGTGGTCCACACACACCACCCGCTCTCTCACATGCAACGGCCGAAACGCACTCGTAAGAGCACAATCCCGCATGTCGCGCTCAAGTCGTCCAGAGAGGACGTCGGAGTTTCAGTTCAGATGTCCCTCCGAGCTCAGTTCAGAATCAGAATCTGTATGTATCCTTGAGAAATCCAATGAGCCGTGAAGCTCTTTTGCACAGATGTCCAGTAGGGGCGGGTCAGAAAGTTACGGCCACAAACAGGGCAGAAAACGATAGGAGAGCAAAGTATAGGAATGGTAACCAAATAACTAATAATAAAAATTGAATAAATAAAATTGCATAAGTTACACTCTTTGGACCAGTCCCAACGAGTTTGGGTCCGTGTAATTTGTCCAAAACAAGTCAAAATGTTTTGAGATTCGGTCTCGGAATCAACACGTCCTGCCAGCTGTGACGTAAGGATTAGGAACACGGACACAAACAAAAAAAAACTCTAGATTGAAAACCAATTTCTTGACAACTGCTTTTTGTGCTTCGTTTGTTGTCCTTCCCCTGCACCTCCGATCAGCATGGTACATGTGTATGTACGCAGGGTGAACTTCTCTCGCACCGTATGTAGCCAACCGCGCTAATCGGAGGGTGCGGATAATGGGATGAAATTAATCGCGCTGTCCCCCGAGATGTACCGAGTGTTCAAATTTGAGACAGCTCCTTTGGTTGCACGTATTAAATATCTGTAATTTAATAGCGTGCTGAAGATAGCTTTGTTTTTTTAGCTTTAATTAAACATTACAGGTGAAGTTCTAATGCGCACTGCGCCCGAATTAGATTTAGCTGCGTCCGGAGGTTTTATGAAACACGAGGACACCTCTCCGTGCACTGGCATTGCATTGGACATCGTTGAACGCTCCAATGGTCGTCATCGTCGCTGTCAGCCATCATCAAACCACTGGCGGGTGAAGGCCTTCTCAAGCCGTCACCCATCGGTCACGAGCCCGCGAGGCAAGATTCCACCCAGCGCCTCCGTGCCACGAGCTGAACTCATCACTCCCCATTGCTCGGGCGGTTGCCATGTCTCGACTGCCCCTACTGGAGATCTGTGAAAAAAAGAGCTTCATAGCTCATCGGATTCCTCCAGTATAAATAAATCTTCTGATTCTGATACTCGACCACCGGCCGCCATGCCCTCTCGCGGCGCATCCTGCTGACGGCCCATTGCCAATCCGCTGCGGGTTGCTTTGACCGTACTTCACCACCTGTTTGTTAATACGGGTTGGTGAAGTGGGCGGCACAGGGCCGGTTCACATTGTCAACTCGGCACTGACGGTTGTGCCTTGGGCCTGGAATCGAACTCGGGTCGCAGGGTTTGTGGCACGGCTCGCTAGCCCGCTGCGCCGCACCACTCCACGGCGACTCGCTGAGAAGCGCAATAATTACAAAAAAACCTTCCACGACGCCCTCTTTGCGATGTGTAATTGGGCCTTCTCGACCAATTGTGTAGCGGCACCGCGCGGGGCGACGCAAACCTCATCCGCCCCGGCTGTCATGAACCAAATACTTTGTTTTCATCACAGTCTCACACGGCATCAATTAAATGCTTGTGTCAATCAGTGTGTGTTCCCATGTGCTTTGTGCCCTGGTTAAATATGCATGCGAAATGCAATGAAGCACCACGAAGCCATCTAAAGTTTGTGTATTATTCATGCGCCCGATGGTGTAAGAACATAAGAAGACAAGTAAGAATAAGTTGACGTCAACATGTTGTGTGCAGATGCACGAGGCAATGTGACCCACTGTTGGATGGGATTTGTGTTTCGCGATGAAGGCAACCGTATGGGCTTACCGAGCCAGCTCCTGTTGAGGTACACAGACACGAACACTGGAGGTACGGTGAAGAAATCCACGATGGAGTTCACCTCCAGCCAGAACCACAGCTTGTCGTTGGCTGCGATGAACTGCACGGGCACACGGAGCAGACCCGAGCACCCAACACGCACCGCACACGCTCACACGCACGCACACACAGACAATGCCATCACACGCGCTCACACGCACGCACACACAGACACGGCCATCACACACGCTCACACGCACGCACACACAGACACGGCCATCACACGCGCTCGCACGCATGCTCACGTGCACACGTGCTCGCACACGCACGCACGTGCACACATGCGCAGACCCAAGAATTACACACACAGACACGGGCATCCCACACGTACACACACACAGGCATACGCACACAAATCCCGACATCCACCATGCACGCACACATACACACGCTCACGTATGCATCCGAGCGTGCACACGCGCACATGCACACACACGCGAGCGCACACACGCAAGGGTTGAGATTAATTAAATGAGTTTTGGAAACAAGTAATCAAAGTACAGGAGCTGCAATTCCAGCAAATGCGAGCTAATTTAAATTAAGACTGAGATTGTGTGTGTCTATCCGTGTGCACGAGTGCGTGTGTGTCCTATGTGACACGGCGCACGGATTAATCAGTGCTCCCTATGTTACAGGCGCAACTGTTTATCCATCATCAGGCACGTGCAGTCGGTAACGACTTAATTCACGTTTAAATGGGGAGGCTGCTTAGCAGGGGAAGGTGGACGGCGGTGGTGGCTGCTTGTGGGGACTCGCATGTGAGGAACCCGGGTGTAAGAGACGATGTTCAAGTTTCACGTTTATTCTCAGAATTATCACAATAGTTATACTGGAGGAATCAGATAAGCATGTCAAGCTCTTTTTCACAGACATCCAGCAGTAGCATTCCATGTAACCAGCGTGGGAACTCGAGGGACCGGGGGGACTGGAGGTCTCATTTGCGAGAGAGACACCGGGTCACCAAAATGACAGACGCAAAACTAAATAAAGTGACAGCGTTGGAAGCAAATTTAAATCTGGCCAAAGAAAACTGCGTGACATGAGCAATCGTAAATATTTCCCCAGACGCGGGTCGAAGTGAAATAATAAATCTCTCCCTCCCCTAAGCGCAAGGTGGCTAGGGGCAGATAATTTTTTGACCGTTCAGAGCCACGACAGCCGGACTGAACTGCAGCAACGCTAAACGGACGTTGGGTGGGTGACTCGTGAAAGGGGCACGGGCAAGTCGAACGCAAGTGCGGCGGCTGCGTCTTCTGCCTCACCCGCAAGCCAAAGTAGAGGAGGAAGAAGATGTTGAGCCCCATGTCGAACTGCAGGGTGGTGTCCTTCTGGAAGTAGTGGCAATCCTCGATGGGGCTGTGGAGACGACACGCGGGCGCGCGGGACAGGACCAGTTGGCTAACCACGTGGACGCGCACAGCGGCTTCATGGCATTTCACAAGCGAAATAAAAAAAAAAATGCTTGCGGCGAAAAGTGACGATCACCGACGGCACGTGCAAGCAGAATGAATGATTGCATAGCAAAAAAAAAAAATCGAGAATTTCAGAGATCTACAACCGAATGATTATGAATGTGCCCCATCTCGCAAGCTAAGCAGGAATTTTTGAAGCCTGGCTATTCACACTTGCGTGGGTGACCAACCACCAGAGCGTGCCAGGGGTTGCAGGCGAAGGGGCTGTGAGGTTTTCACCTGCAGATTACAGCTTGCGACTATCACCCTTTGTACGAGGTGGTGTTCTCTGGGCATTACAATGGTCTTCCCACACGAAGCCCAACGCTCATCAATGGAATGGGCCAAACGTCTTGAATAAGTCACTGTTATTGTAGTTATTGTGCCGAGTGCTTTTTGACACAATAACTACTTGCGAGAGAGCGGGTGGTGTGTGTGTGGACTACAAGGGAAGGAGTTATTTCATGTCCAAGATGGACAAACACTCACAGTTGACTCGGAGGGTGGCGAATTGCCCACATTCATGTTAATTTACAGGAAGACAGATTTAGTTTATTACAGCGGGCAGGGCCGAATGAAGCTGTTCAATGTCATGGGCATCCTGTGACTACTGCAGCAGTTATAAACTTGCCACGTCTGTTCATCACGTGACAACTTTATTAATTGTCTGTCTTGGGTGGTGGAGTGTTTACGACACACGCTATTTCCGCACGCTGATCTGACCCAAACATTTCATTGCGCATCATAATATCGATTCACCTTCTAATTTCCCACTCGAATGACTTTCATAGCACATCCATTTAATTTGCATAGCGACTCTTGGAGCCAACAGCGCCAATGTAATATGGGCAAAGTGCCAATGGAATCAGTCGAAGGTGGCACGCGTGGCCTCGACGTCAAACAAACGATCAAACCAAAAAAAATCTAATTTGTGACGACCGCTGGCAAGTACAACACAAGCCACTAAGGTAGCAGTGCTTCCCCCACATTGAGTATTCAAAACGTTGGTTACCCTACGGACAGTCACTCCTTTCGGCCATAGTATAGTGGAATTTCCACCGCTGGCTTGTGCTTTCTGTAGGTGAATAATTGCTGTACTACGCTTGCGTGTCCTCATCGCGAATCGCAAATTGACTTCGATTGGTGAAGTATGGTCAACGAATACATTTCCACCACTGGCTCTGCAGGGCCGTAAATGGGCAATGAGCATCACCACGTTCCTCATTTGAGTAGGAAATCTCTTTGGAGTAAATTTGTATTATTATTTCACCACACTATGGTCATCAACTCAAAGAGCAAACCGAGGCATGGTTATAATTTTATATATATTTTTAGCAAAATCCAATTTGAAACTCTGGCACTCGTATATGCAAACGAATAAATAAACGAGACATTTGCAAATGTGTGGAAATGGGGTTGCGCAAGATTTTGAATATCACCGGAAAAAAAATGAATAATCAGCAGAGCTGTGCATGCAATTCCAAGCGCTATGTTTGCAATGAATCTCTCTGCTCGCGTCGCCGCGCTAATAATCCTCTGGCAGCCGTTGCCGTCAGACGACATCAAATTTCTGTTCCTAATGAAACAACCTCTCTGCTGACCCTCGCTCCGCTGTGGATGTCACGGCGAATATCACGGCTCGCGTGAGCACGGAAAGTGACGCGGCGTGTCAACGTCGGCGGCGTCAGCAGCAGCAGTGACCTACCCACTGCTGGATGAAGGCCTCTCCGGCAAGACAAAGCGTATGCCGAGTTTATATTTAATGTTATGGCTGTCCACGTTGAAGTCGCTAACATTAACGATATTCTGTTTTCATTACGGGATTTAATTACTTTTGTCAATTCGCGTGATTAAAATTGGCATTGTAGTTACTTTGAACGTAAATTCATAAATGTTGCAGTGTAACATCAATTTAATCACTCTTACCTAGAAACGCCAATCGTTAACATGCACACTGTGTCTGTACACGCGGTCACATTCACACTGCGTCGTGACTGCTACACGAAGCTGTAAAGGCCTTTGTGGAGTGGATGGGCAGGTGTGCCGCTGCGTTTGGTGAGAAACAAAGTATGGGCATCAACATTCTGGATCGCTCAACCGACTCCAAGCAACCATCGGCATGGCTTATCACGCCACCGTCGATATCTGCTAAGCACCCGCCGCGGTTTCACCTCCGTCATGCCAATTCGTCTGACAATTTAACACGCGACTGACTAGATACCGCGAGCGATGGAGCTACGCCTAAGCAGGCTGAGCATTAGGCTTCAGCGTGCCAAAGTAGCTACATGGGCGCCCCGGATCCGCCAAAGAAAAAAAAAATGGGATGCAATAAAATATCATCTCAAATTTAAATCCCAACAAACATCAAAAAAAGCCAATCTTCTCCGCATTTTTCGTGTCTGCAATTCCTCTCATTATATATATCCTGCCTACAGCCCATCCGTCATCTCACATCTACATCCCTTGCCGAGACCTCGCTCAATTTGCGACATCTCTGGCTCATCTGTGTCTCTGCTCCTAACTGTATCTCATCTCACTACGGCAAGGGTCTGCATCCCTTCTCTCACCTCACAAGGAAAGTTTTCAGGGGGGTGGGGGGTCAACAATAGCGCATGCTTAGAGCCCCCAACGGTCCAGCATCAGCGGTAGGTGTCGTTATAATTCTGAATCGACACGGCGGGATTCTGTCGCACATTGCAGGTTCATTGAAAACATAGCCACTCGGTGTACCGAGAGTACGCAGAAGGGCATGCAGATGCGTTGTACACACACACGCGCGCGCGCACGCGCACACACACACACACGCGAAATCACTCGGGTACACGTAGTCAGTCTATGCACACTCACCTCGTCGCACTTACACCAGGAACAGGGTTTCGGGTAATATTTCGGGAGGGGGGGAAATAAAACAAATGAGCCTACCACCTTGCAATGTTACATATATACACACACATACACACACACGAGCGCAATTTTTTTCCGTTTAACCAGGCGAGAGCTCAAGAGACCAGGACAGCGCCTCACTTGCAAGACAGTAATCTGGCTCACCAACATGACGAGCAAAAAAATTAATGAGAGTCGAGTGAAGGAAGCAATTGTTCGGCTCCTTGAAGAGCAAACAATAACAGGAACCCCGGCATGCTTTGCACGTGAGGGCCTGTGTGCAAGGCATTGTCATTTTTAGTGGCTGTTGATGTTCTTCTCTAGCTGGAGAAAAGCGCCCGAGAGCGTGGCTCTCCCCATGCGATGTCGGGTCGGTACCGCGTGTCGTTCGGAACGATGTCTGACGGTCCGCTCATCATTGCCCGGGAGCCGTTTGAGGAAGTGAAAGCGTGTTCGCAGCATGCAGAGGTGGAACGTCGGAATTCAACTGGCGGACGTCGTGCCGAGCGACATGCGATACAACCCAGAAGCAAAATCCTACGGGGTCGTAGAACTTCAGTTTAGTCGTAAGATGTTGGCCAACGCCTTTGGTCTCACTGTCAATAAAGTAACATACGTCCTCGATTAAATATCTACCTTCGTTTCCTTAATTGGTAAACAGAGCAAATTTAAAAGAAATTCGCAAACGGACTAAAGTTCGAGTGCCATTCGGTGCAATGTTGCGCATCCCAGTTCCATGTGGTACGGGCGGTAAAGGTTGGATTTGTGAACGTATCTGTGGGCAGTTAATGGGTCAGGGCGGACATGTGACAGTGGGATAAGTGACGTTATACGCTACGCTCGGTTTACGAAAACCGTTTTCTTGGCTATGAATAAAAATCTAAGGAAATGGAGCTCACGGTGAGGTTAGGCAGAAATTCTGGTGATGAATTAGTGAACGTTTCAAATGCCTTCAACAGGGCTTTTAATCGGCAATACAGGATAACCCCTCTCATCCGTGGTTGTATGGGGACACCTATTATTATCGGTGGAGTTATTTCATTCATTGTAAAGGATATAACCCCGCGGATAATATAATTAGACTCCTCTTTTCTGTGGAAAGATCGCGAGTATCAGGAAACTGCTTTGCTGTGCATTGTGGGTAAAGCCGCGGACAATTGTAATAAATAGGGCTGCTGATAATCAGCAGCCCTGTTTATTAAAGGGGGCCATGCAAAAACCGAGGGGGAGGTCAGGGAGGGCACAGCACAGTCAATGTTAAACAAACTGTACCCTCGCGTGTATTTTGAGGACGGGCTGCAGTGCACCTTCTTTAATTGCCACCGGCGTTAAATATCGTGCCATGATTTGTGTAAGGAATGCTTAGCCATCAATATGAGTGGGGGGCTCAGGCCCTCCCTCACTACCCACCCCGCCCCCTACGTGGCTGGTAATCTAAGTTTTAGTGGCTGTGTCAAACTGTCAATAAAGGCTCTCCGAGTCGGCTACACCATATTGGATTTAGAAACAGCTTGAATCGCTGCAATATCGCAATTCCAGCCTGAAGACCGACACCATCGAGAGCAGGGGAAAGAACCCGCAGCGATGTTTTTTCGTTCTTCTAATAAATATCACCATGGGACATTACAAACCCCTCTTGCTTTAAATGGCAAGTGATGTGTGTCAACAGCCAGAAGCCTGCACCACCCCCACCCCCTCTCTTCTCTGCACCTGCTATTCCCACAGATGACAATTGTGCATCCGAAATTGTGAACGTAAATAATACAGGGGCAGACAAATTCCACGACGTTATAATCACCTTTGATTCAATGACCTTAACTACAGCCGCTTTGTCAATCCACTGCTGGATGAAGGCCTGGCCACCCCACGCCGTGTTGTCGACATCACGGGGTGGGGGAGTGGGGGGGATTGTCCATACTTCCTTTCTTTTCCATTGCACCCCCCTGCCCCCCCTCCCCCCTAAAACCCTCACCCCTCTCCCGGTGTCTGTGTGATGGATGAACTTACTCGGACGAGTCGATAAAGTAAATCACCAGAGCCCCGATGCTGAGAAGGAAAACGAGCACCACCTGCGAGCAGCCACGGGGAGAGGAGGGGGGTGGTAGTGATTTGGTGGTGAGTTTGGTGAGTTGGTGGTGAGTTTGGTGAGTTGGTGGTGAGTGCGATGACGACGACAAAGAATCGGAGAGGGGTGTGATGGTGCAACGATAACTCTAACAAACGTTTTGCGCGAACACTGATCCATTGATCCTTGGCGATAGAGGAGCAGTCTGCAATAGCCTTCTCACAACCCCCAGCCATCCGTGCCGTCAACTCCTTTCGACTTTAAGTTATTTACCACCCCGCCGCCCCCTTGCAATTGTGACGTTACATGAACCTTTTCGGGAGGGGGGAGGAGGGGGAGGGGATATAAATATGCTAAATGGAATGAAAATGTAGCGGTGAACATTAACGAATGCCCCCCTTCGTGGGCACTGAGGACCACGTGACTGCTCCATCACGTCTTTCTGCCAAGCTGTGCAGCGCCGTACGTAATTCTTGTTTATTTTGTAAGTTGCGCGAAATGCCCAGGACGTAGCTTATCGGATGCCATGGTGTCTACTGGTATGAGCTTGGGAAACTAGCGAAGATGATTGTCGACGTTTAAGAACATTACCCGACTATTGTGGACGACCGCTTTTTTTATTAGGTCCATGGCGGACATCCCGAAGACAGAAACCTCCTGACTCGCAGTCCCAGCGTGACCCGGCTGATGATGCCGATGACGCCAATGACATCACCAGGCCCACGCCTATCACCCCCCGTCCAGCGGCACACAAACGTGAGACAAGATTTCTCCCCCCCCCCCCCCTCCGGGTATTTTCGTGTTTAATCCGAATAGCCGACACTCCGCCCAGTTAATGAGTGGAAACTCGGCAGAGTTATCGATTTCCCGAAGGCTCGGGAGAGGTCACAGCTCCCAACTCAAAATACCCGGATCGCCAGCGCAATGACGAACACGGCGTGACGCGGAACGGCCCAGGGACACCGCGGTGCAACTTAACCGGGGGCCCCCTTCGTCGAGCAGACGATATCCCCGGGGGGACAAATCTTCTTAGCAGTTAAATGGCTAACCTGGGAGCCCGTCCCCTTACGTCGTCACGGATAAGCGGCGTAACACTGTACACAAAACGAGCGTGGAAATTCATCATCATCAGCCACGATCAATCCACTGCCGGATGAAGGCCTCCCCCAAGTCAGTTGTTACGAAGAAACTGAAAGGCAGCAGCTTCATCACATTCGATAATGCAGTGTGTACTTGTCTGTTACGAGTAACAATAGTAATTATAATAATATTAATTATAATAATTATAACATCAAATAATTGATAGCCCTTGGTCGGTCCACTGCTAGGTGAAAGCCTCCCACGTAACATTCCAGATATGGGGGTTGTGTTGGCCATACTTCACCACGTTAGTTGGTGCTCGATAGCGAAGGTGACGGGGTGGGCGGGGGGGTGCACTCAGTGACCGGTTCAGATATCACTCGCCACTGGGAATCGAACTCGGTGTCGTCAGGCTGACAGTGCAGTGCTTTAACTACCACTGCACTACCACTTGCGCCCACCGGCATGTAGAGGTGGGGTATGTCCGTATCCAAACATCAAGGTGTCATTCGTGACCAAAGCCCTGAATGCTGTCACGCTTTCATCGCTGTGGAGGGTGGGGGGGGTTGATGATTGGTGGCTGGAGCAATACCCCAAGTTGAGGCCACTCGTTTCCCAGTGTGTGTGTGGGCACCGCGAGCCTTGCCAAGGCTCATCCGCCTTTACCCACCGACAGATTACCCACAGTCCCACTGCACTGTTGCGGTTGGCACTTTTCCTCCTTGGGACTCACCATATTATAGGTATTAAATCAACTATCATCACATTGCCAGGAAAAGTATGTGAACCTGAGCTGGACACTCCGCTAGAAGGGACGGTGATGGCCAATGGTCATGGAGGCATTTGTACGGTGCTATTTCAGGAATATTTTTGATGTTTTTTTTCCTGGATTTTCTGTTTGCACAGTCACATAATCACTTTAAGATGTTTTCTTGTTCATGTCTTTTTGTTTGTTGCGGTTGCACCCGATTCAAGAGCCGAATGGCTCACAGTGCTATACCAAATAAATGAACTATGAACTCATTAGACACAAAGTGCTCGCAGAAAATGAACCACAACACCTCGCTGAACTCGTCGAGGAGCATAAGTGATCACGCCAACTCCGCTCATCCTCGCAGCAGCGACTTTAGGGATAACCATTGAACAAAGATGGCCACCGCATCGCGCGCTTTTAGAAGCGCTTCTGTGGCCATCTGGAACGCTCTTCCTTGCGATATTAGGAAGCCAGTGGAGGCTATGCACTATTCAATCTCGATTAAATACTCATTCCTTTGTGTTTCGTTTGTTGTCCTTCGCCTCGCACTTCCGATTAGCACGGTTGGCTACGCACGGTGCGAAAGAAGTTCGTACAAGAATAGCGATTGCTTTGGAATGGAACACGTCCGAGAGGACACCCACTGGCGAGATGGAGCGACGAAGTGCCGGTGCGAGGTGGATCATTGCATAGTGGGATCGTGGGAGATGGCAGTGGATAGAGGAAGCCTTCATCCATCCCACAGTGGATTTACCATGGCTGAAACTACTGCTCCTGCTGCGGATAATGATGCTGCTGATGATGATTATCATAGTAATGGGAATTGTTAATTGAACTGCAATGCTGTTATTGGTGGTGTGTGTTATGGATGATATTCCCATCACTTGCGACACACCGCATGGACAGTGAGCTTGTGAAGAAAGGAAATGCTGTGTACTTTGCGTGCAAATCAACAAATTTTTTCCACTGGAAAAAAGCCACAAATAGCGATATCTAAATTTGGGCTCACACCCCACGGTGCCTTGCAAGGAAGCGATTGGCTAATTGGCATTTCCTTTCAGCCTGAGCAATCTGTCAAGCCAAGGCTGCAATGACATCTCCAACAAAGTACACTAGATTATAATATTCACGAGGACAACATACATTTTGTTCCATTGGCCAACGAGAGGGTTTTTGGTTTATGTGCAATCGACACTTCTCTTGGGGTCATGGGTAAAGTGTGCTGCCCCAAGGGTTGGCTACGGCTGCTGAGCGATCAATGGAACTTCCACAAGGAACCACAAACAGGAACATGAGTTTATCTTTTTAGTCATTTTTTGTTTCAAAATCCTTTTTTTTTATCTTCCCCAAATGTTATCCTACTCGTGCTATCCGCGTCGTCATGCGCTGCAGAATCCATTCTGAACTTTTGCAGAGCAGTGCAACCCTTCGCATTAGAGAACGGTCCATGGAAAGCGGATATCACAGAGCTACTTCTGAGACCCCTTCAAAGTGACCGCTAGGCAGCACTTTCGCACCCACTCTACCGGGGGAGATTAATGTCCGTTGCATGACATTTGCGGCGATATTTACCTGGAGCTGGAATTTAGAAAAAAAATGAAGTGCAAAACCAATTTTAATGTGCAGTCATTGGTGACCGGTAGAGACCATTAAGTTGAATAGAATGTAGGTAGGAAACATTATATGGAATGTGAAATAAAGTGAGTGGGCTGGGCAGGACACGTCGCTTAGAGGGATGGAGGTTGGTAGCTGAGGTTAATGACAAGGCAGTAGGCAAAGGAGAGACTTGGAGAGGCCTTCATCTAGCAGTAGATTGATCATGACTGATGATGATGAAGAGGCCGGGGACCACAAATGACTTTCATCGCTTTGTGATTCCCAACACGGTCTCTAATTTTTACCCCAAAGATAACAACAACATCATAATCGTCATCACGACGACGACCTAACATTTCAATTTGGTTAATTTGCTCTGAAGAAGGGATGTTTGGCCAAAACGTCGTCGATTATGTTTCCTTTGGAGGCCACAGTGCCCCCTTACATGGGTCAGGGTTTCCTCCCACGCGTATAAACACTCGCTCGTTGGCTGAAGACATCTTAATTCATAGAGGACTGCAGAGCTCGGGCAATTGTTGGCACCGGCTCACCGCCCGGTCGCTGCTTTCCAGCCCCTCGCGTAGTTCCTCAGCGATGGCGAGAGATGCAATTTGCGTGAACGACGCTACATCAAACTAAACAACGTTATTCAGGAAAACGAAGGTTTATTTTATTGTTACTCGTACTTGCACATCACTGGCATCGCAGCAGTGGGGGCAGCTGCGGCAGCGGTACCGCCAAATAAAACGTGGGACCTTCGCAAACGGGTGTTGGCAGGTGTGTGCGCGCATGCCCACGCCACCGCGGATTGCTCACCAGCACGCGGCCGGTTTGCGTCTGCGCAGAGATCATGACACCGGCCCAGTCCTTCACCGAGGTCATCCAGCCGACCTCCGAGTCCTCGGCGTCTTCTCGCGGTCGGTACGTGCCCTCGGAGGGAGGCGCTCCGTCGGCTTTTATCTTCTGCAATTCCTGTCGCAACGAGAAGGAGCAGAGGGAGGGGGTGCGCTTTGTATCAACGCGGCCTTCATCGATCGTTTAACAGTGGACAAATTAGGCACTCTGGGCTGGAAATGCGATGTAACGGTCGTTAACGAAGTGGAGCGCTTGCCGACCTGACGACCTGAGTTCGATTCCCAGCCACGGCTGACAACGGTGACGAGTGACGCCTCAACCGGTCTGAGGCGACACCCCCTTTACCGACCCACACTGCCCGGTGTGGTGAAGTATGGTCAAACAGCCCCCCGTGGCAGACACGGCATGGGCAGCCCTTCAATCAAGTGGTGTAATGACTAAGGGCTGCACGCTTCTAAAAATAACTTACAACACTATGTCAACCCACTGTAGGGTGATGACCTCCCTCACGCTTTGTCAATCGTAGGAGGTTGTTTGACCATACTTCACCATGCTGTGCGAGTTGGTGAAGTAAGTGGCGTTGGTTGGGGAGGAGGGGTCGGGGAGCACCAGGATCAGTTCAGACATCACTCACCGCTAATGTTAGACGTGCTCGGGAATTGAACTGGGTTCTCGAGGTTTGTAGTGCAGTGCGTTATCGCCGTGCCAACACTGAGACACAAAGCAGCCTTTCAGCTGGAGTACAACGCACGTTATAACATCTGTCATTTCCACACCTCCGATGAGCGCGATTGGCAATGTACTGCGAGAAATAAGTTCAACATTCGTACACCACATACATACAATTCATATTCCACCGTTGTATCCCAACCGCGTGGAGCGAAAAACATAATGGGACATCGTATTGACAGTATAAACACATAATGGCCGTCCGTGTAAGTACATGTCACGGCAATCGTATTGACCATTCAGAGAGATGGGCTTGGGCCAGACGCATCGTTACTGTGACAGATGGTGGCACGTGGACGAGACCGATGACGGAATGTCAGTCAACTGCAGCGGACTCGTCGAAGAGGACCGCAAACTCACGCCCACCACGGAGATGGAGCGATGAAATAACGAGTTCTGTTGCTCGGGAGCGACGTATTGCGGCAAATGCAGGATGAGGATTGTGACGGACTGGAGAGGGCTTCACTCTCGATTGGTCTTCATCCAGCAGTAGATAAATCATGTCGACAGCAGTCATACGTAAACCATTGGCTTCCCATTCATCACAATATCATCTATTTTCACACAACTCACAGTACTAACTGCATTTCAAATGGTAATATCTTAACATACACCACTCCATATTTCCATTCTAAATATTTAATTAAGCCATTTCATCATGTAACTTGCATTGTATTATCATAAAAATAAACATTACCGGTGTAATATTACACGTGGCACAGTCACTACCGCACTGCTCCAACGTTAACTTAATTAAAAGGCAGAACTGAGACGCCGCATTCACGTGGACGAAACCCTGGCGCTAGACTTCAGTGTGCACTGCGATCCGCATCTTTTCATTAAAATACATTTTCACTAACCAATTAATTGCACAAGGAACGTGTATGTAAGTTGCATTGATGGGTAAAAAAAATACATTTCTTGTAAATAATCTATGCTGAGTAACGTTTTACATTTTTTTCCTTTTCTCAATTCCCCAGTGGATGGAGGCCTGCACATGCTCTGTCACTCACAGAGTATTTTTGACCATACTTCACCATGCTGGTCAGTGCGGGTTGGTGAGGGAAGGACGTGGAGGGTTACCCAGGATCGGATCTGATATATCTTGCCACTGATGTTATCCGTGGCGGGGAATTCATCTCAGGTTGCCAAGTACGTGGCACAACGTGCTAGCTACCGTCCCACCACTCAACCAAATTAATGAGTGGTAGAGTGGTGGCGCCGCAGTTTGCGTACTGCGCTATGAAGCCATTGACCTGACTGTTATTTTCAGGCATGGCTAACATCAGTGGCGAGTCGTATCTGAACTGGTCTTCCTGTCTGTCCACCTCACCGACCTTGCCCTCATCAGTTTGGTGAATTATGGTCAAACAACACCCATGACTGACGGGGCGTGAGTAAGCACTCGTCCAGCATTGGATTTACAAAGGTAGAAGGAACTGGCAGGTTCACGAATGACAGGTGAAGGAATTAATAGAATTAATGATATGAACAGCGATCATATGATGATGATGATGCTGCTAAAGCAAAAGAAGCCAAAGGGGGAACTGGGCAGGACAACTCCAGAGCGGAGACCGCCCGAAGAGCTGCAGCAGCGAGACGCCGTCACAGGAGTTGGGAGGCCGCAACTGGACAAGAGCAGCTCAGGAAAGCAATGGAAGAGCGTGGGCGAGACCTCTGCCCGGCAGAGGAGGAAGTCACAACACCATTCCACACCTCCGATTAGCACGGTTGGCTTCGCACGGTGCGACAAAAACTTCAACATATTTTTCGATTTAAAGCTTTCGTGACTGCAGGGATTCATCTTCTGGGTTATTTCGGCAAAGTTACGTGACTTTACCGAAAGAACCCAGAAGAAGTTCAACATACATACAAACTGCCAATGACAATTTTTACTGAACAATTCATTCCGATTATCACGGTTGGCTACGTACGGTGCTAAAGAAGTTCAACAAACACACAACAATGAGAGCAAACAGCTTAGCCGCACTAATCGGGTACTGGAGGGGAAAACATGAAAGCATCATCGCAACGTTGTGTTTAAATTTTTGCGCAATCAGCCCACACGTTTGACTTGTAAGTAGCCCTGACCACAAAGTCAATGTAGGCGGTTCAAGCACGATCAAAGTTGGTGTCAACCGATGTCAGGACCGCCAAATGTTTGACATTCTTGCTGTAGCATGATGATGCTGGTTGTAATTGCCCGCGAAACGCCGTACACGAATTGTAAATGCTGTGGGTTCACTCTCCAGCATACCGATGTGCTGAACTCATAAATAATTGGCATTTTTTTTATTTACGTGACACACCTTGCTAATTGGCTATGTCGGGTGGTGGCCGATTTAACAATATTTATATTTACAGGATCTAACGCAAAAAAAATCCCTTATGTACGACGTTTACCTATCGCTGACAACTTAAAGTGCAAGGATAATAATTCGTGGTTAGAGGTTGCTTAAATGCCTCCGCGATTTAAAGTGCCTGAACATCTTCATCTCCATTATTCCAATGCCCAGCTGTCGTTGTTGTCATTATTATGTTTGCTGGGCCTCGGTGACCCACTGCTTGGCAGCTGTCCGAGGTGAAGGCAGCACTGGGCTGCAAGTGGCCATTCGTCTGCCAGTAGGGCAGAGGCAATATTTGCTCTTGCTTTTTTGCAACTAAGCCATTTGCGAACAAATTTTACTTCATTTGGACCGTGACGTCCCGGGGTCCAAATCCATCCGGGCAGGCATCGTAGCCGCACTCATCGAGTACTAGAGGGGGTACATCTTCAGCTTGGCAGCAACAATGCGTTTCTATTTTTTCGCTCGCTCCATCACCAACGTTGCCGCATTGGCATGGTGCTACGAGACCGAGGCTCGTGCGGGCCTGTGCCAAACTTGTGGTTGGCCGCCAAAGTTTTTTTATTTTGTTTGAAATTCCAGTTCAACCCTCAGTAAAGGAAATAAAGACCTCGCAACATATCCGTCAACAACACTTCCGTGCAGATGGCCCATTGCCCGACACGTTGCCTCTTTTAAGAGCAAAGTGTTATTCGCGAATGTGTTGAGTTTGTTGTGATTAGAGCTTGTGCACTCCTGCTAACGCAGCAGCAGCAAGCATCATCACCACCACCACCAATTAATTGTCTCGTTCCAGGAAAAGGTTCCCTGCCTCTACTTTCACGTATCAATTGCTAACGCGGAAAACCGTTATCGCTGCCGCTTCACTGTAGGTCACGCAAATGAAGAGGCGGTGGCGGGGGGGGCCGGACCCTTTCATGTTCGCCGTTGAGACATTTAGCCCCTTACATTATTCACATCCCTCTCCGGGTCCGCACCGCTGCTGCTGTAATTGAATAAAAAATGCATACAGTGTCTCCATGACAGCAATTAAAAATTCATGTAATTATATCTGCGCACCGAAAGATGCTTGTCAGCGGAGCCATTAAAGACCACTCGTCACGTAAACAACGAACACACAAAACAAAGAAAGCGTCGGGTTCCCGTTCCTTATTTTAGAACTACTTTCACGCGCGCGTTACAGCAAGTTTGGCTTTTGGAATAGAAGACAAAAACAAACAAAAACGGGCGCAGCAAAGAAGCGCAGAGAAGTTGCACGTCCAGAGTTGCACGTTGAAAGAGAGAGAGAGAGGAAGGAGGAGCGCATGCTTCAGGGAACAAACGCAAATCAGAGACGTGTTGACGGTTAAATCGGTAGGCTTCGGCAGGACACGTTGCTCGCAGGGGTGATAGCGAAGCTACGACGACGACCCTCGTGATGGAATGGCAGTCAAAGGAGAGGGAAATGCATCCGAGAAGTTTCCCAACGTTGGAGATGGAGCAACGTGAGATCAGTTCACGTCTGCGGGCACAGTGAGAGATGGCATCGGCATGGGAAGGAGGCCTTCGCACAAGCGGGGAACAGACAACGACTGCAGATAGGGATGATGAATGTATTTGTATACCCATGGAAGCCGCCTCCATTGAATCTCTCGAAGGCTATTTCTGGAAAGTTCTGCTTGGGGTCACATGAGCGAGAACCCTCTGAAACTGAAGAGGCAATCCAACATGCTTGCCAAATCTATATCTTATTATCATTTTAAGAGGACACGAGAGAAAACCAAAGTGGACAAGAGGGTAAGAGCGATGCTCAGAAATTCGTTGAAGAGATTATCAAACCTACTTACTTAGCTGCCTTACAAGGGACACCACCACAGGAGATGATGGGCATCTCATGCCAAATGGTCTCAGCGTAATCACAAAAAAACGCTCACTTGAAGCAGATATCTTTTTTTGGGCATCGTCTCATTAAATTTGTTTTTCGAAAATCGTGTGCGTATTTTGTATATTTGAACAGTTTGAATGTACGTACCGCACTATGCATATCATCTTCGGTGAAACAGTGGCACAGTGTTTGGCGCAATTTCGTGATACGGACCTAGTGACCAGAGTTAGATTACATGCCTTGGCGAACATCAGTGGCAAGTGATATCTCAACCGGTCCTTCACCAAAACTAAACTATTTTTATTTTTTATTTTACACTGAGCTATGTAGCTTTTTTTTAAGAAGCGACCTTGGCACAAATTATAGCTCAACGAAGTGGCTTATGACGTGGAAGTTAATAGCAGCCAAATACTTTAAACACATGTTGAGTCTCGATGTGGAGGCAAAAACCGGAGGACCCAGAGTAAAATCCACGCAACCACGGGGAGAACGTGCAGACTCAAAATAAATCACCATCAGTCAGGATCGAACCCACGACCTCGTGTACACCAGGCGAGGTAGTTAACATCTCGCCACCGTGGTACCCCAACCTGCATTGACTGCGTGGGTGAAGTATGGTCAAATAACCCCCCCATGACAGACGTGACGTTGGGAAGCCCTCAACCAGCAGTGGACGAACAATGGGCTGTCTAATTTACTGCAGATGCATCTGTGCAGCCCCTCCGGTCAATCCACTGCTAGATGCGGGCCTCTGCAAAGTGTCAGGAGTTATTGGACCATACTTCCCCACGATGGTCAGTCGAGGGTTGGTGAAGGCAGGGGAAGCGTAGACGCTGGAGGAAATAATTTCTGCACGACAATATGATTATTAATGCACTCATATGATCCGCCCTCCAGCTGCTGCAATCACCAAATTATTATCGTGATTTATTGTACCTCATCTTAATCCATTTTCATTCCGCCATTGAAGGTTCCGTATAGCTCCAATCTGAAGCCTCCCTTGGTCAGAGTCTTATATAAAACACAGAATCAGTTTGCCCCCCTCCCCCCACCGCTTCGTGATAGCATCTCTTCTCGCTCCTCTCTGATCGTCTGCACGTTCATTATCTCCGCTTCTTTACCGCAAAGATCTCCGTTGTGTCTCCTCCGCCAGTCCAGTGAACGGGGAGTGCTCACGCTGTTCGTGGTTTAGCGGCTCCTGGGCTCGCAATCCCGAGGCTCGCCGGCCCCGATCTCCTGGCGCGGCAAGTTGGAACAATGGGGCACGTTTCCTAAATGACCCCCGAATTCTGTCCATCCCAGCAGTGTGAATGTATAACACCTCAGATTTGCATGGTTGGCTACGTACGGTGCGAAAGAAGTTCAACCTACATACATACAGGTCGCGTGTGGTGGGGTAACGTGTCGGCTTACTCCCACTCCTTCCATGACGCCTGGCCACCGTGGACGAGTAGGCCAAATGCCCTCTAGAGGGAGTGCTCTATCAAAGCGGAGGCCCTTCCACCAGCTGAGGTGTGAGCAAGCATTTGCAGGTCTGCGCCTTTGCCTACCTGGAGGCACACGTCTCGCTCAGGTGTGGTGGTGATGAGCGGTAGGTCGCTGCGAACCCGTGCGGCGACCCAAGTTAGATTCCGGCTCACGGCCAACGCCAGTGACGATTATCTAAACCGGTACTGGTCTCTCCCGACAGGTTAACTCAGATTGGTACCTGGTGCGGTGTGTAAACATCACCCCAGGGGAGACAAAGGCGACCGGGCGTCGTGTTGCTGGCCACCAAACCCCTCCCTGCACCGTGTATGTGTGCTCAGTAACTGCGCTTGCCACGCAAGTTTGTTCGAGGCTATAAGGAGGTTAATTGTATTTGGTTGTCCACTAAAGGTAAACTATACTAGATATGAAAGTCCTATTGGGCCCGAAGGAAAATGTTCCGCATCCCTGCTGCACCCTCAATCCTCCTGTCTGTGTATCCGTGCTTGCTACGACAGCGACCGAACGGGCCACCCTCTGACGGTTAGGTTGCCATTTGTAAACCTCGAATCGTCACCAACCCCGCAATGACCAGCGTGGTGAAGTATGGTCAAACAACTCCCGTGTACCAACACGACATGCCTTCGTCCAGCAGTGGATTGAAAAGGCTCGTACATTATTCTTGCAAATCAGATATACGTAGAGTTTACTACCGCAGCTATATATATACACCAAAGGCGTTGAATCGAGATATATCGACACGATATCTTTCATCAACGTGTCGGAGCACGTCAAATCTCGGTAGCTGAGCAGGTTTGAGCCTGGATATTAATGCTTGAATGAGCCACCCCCATTATCGTACTGGGTATGATCTTCATCATATCTACTGATGAGGTTTTTTTTTTTCCAAAACATGATCCCGGAACCATTATTGTAAAAATATAACTACACCACAACAGACCCCTATATCTTGGGAGCAATCAAAACGCGCATTTACTGCCCCTTTTGTTGTCTACCCATTGCTGGATAGGGGGGCCTTCCCACGCAGTCGTGGTCGTCATTTGACCATACTTCACCACGCTGGTCAGTGCCGGTTCGGAGAAAGATGTGGGAGATTGGGGGTGGTGGTGGAGGGGAGGGGGTCACAATACTTCATATGAAATCAAAGCTGAACTGACAAGGAAGGCAAGGGTCGGTATTTGTGGAACAGCAATCATGCAATCGTGATACTCTATGTGCATAGAGATGTACATGCGGTTAGAAATTAAAGAGCTTGACGCGCCCTTGCACGCCACAGCGTCGAAGGTGCAATGAATATTGCATGTCTACACGTGTCCGTGGGAGTGAAGGGGGAGGTGGGTGTCACGCACGCTCGATCACCTTGTTCACTTTCTTGCAGTGGCAGCACACCGTCCAGAGGTACTTGAGCGACCGCCACGACAGAATGATGAAGAGGCCACCGAAGAAGGTGACGAGCGAGGAGGCCAGGAAAGCCCACCACATGCGCTGCTCGTTGTTGCACTGGATCTCGGAGAAGATGAGCCCCATGGTGCCCGCTGTGCTGTGCACGATCCAGAGGGCTGGACACCGCAAACTCGCCGTGGGGAAATTTTTGTAGAGGCCCCCCGGGCTGTCTACCACGGTCCGCGTGTCCACCGCCGAGAAGACGTCACAGGTTCAGCTTTGTGTCAACCAAGGCCCCGGTGTCCACCACGGTCTGCGTTCGTTAAGGCCTCGTGACAACCACGGTTCGTGTCCACCAATGGTCGCGTCCACCACCACCACCAGGGTCTTGAGTCCACTGCAGCTGGACCACCACGGTTCGTGTCCACGGATTTATTCGAGGGCCGGGGATCGAGTCCACCGATGACTCGACGATAGTTGTGTCCACGACGATCTCGCGTCCACCACCACCACCACCACCACCTTCTCGCGTCCACCTCGGACTCAGAGACCGGCGCGAGCGTCGCCCGCAGCTCTGTTCATTCGGAGCGCCGCAGCCATGGCGACCGCTGCCCGCGCCTCTTCATCCTCATGACGCAGCCTCATCCCGATCCTCCGTCTACCTCTCCTCCTCCTCCTGCTGCTGCTGCGCCGCTAAACCGCTCCTCGTTCTCCTGCTTAATCGCGGGTGGCTCCCTGGGATAGCTGCGCCGCTGCGGCCGCGATGGGAGCGGTTCGGCGTTGTGACACGAGGAGGAGAGGTATAGATGACGATGAGGAGGAGGAGGGAGCTGCGAGACGCACGGAAAGAGAGAGAGGCAGCGGAGAGGGGAGGGGAAGGGCGCATCCCACCCTCCCGTGGGTGGTGTTCGAGAGCAGCGAGCGTTCAGCTGCGCGCGGACAGCAGGAGCAGCCGCACGCACGATGGCGCCTCTAGTGGTTGTCGCCGGCTGCGCGATTAGTGAGCCCTGGGGGTGTAAAGCTGTAATGCTTCGTCGGTTAAGTGGATTAAGCGACTCTAAATATATTTGACTGTTTTGTTGTGTGGCAGTTGCCATTGGTCCCTGCCTCCCGAAGGTCGGAAACCCCCATGATAAGCCACCGCCCATCCATATGCGCCTGATGATGTTGACCGCGTTGCCAAGTCCCGCCCATTACCTCCCGTCCAGCGGCACACGTATAAAAGGCAGGTGATACGTTCACTTCATCCGATTAGTCGAGCAATCCAATCGAACCGATAATCTGGTAGCCAGCACTAGGGGGTCATCATCGGGGTTGGCCATGGCTGGCTTGGAGCGGTGGCGCAGCAATTAGCGCAGCCCGCTGTGAACAAGGGAAACCACAGGTCGATTCCCAGCCACAGCCAATATCAGCCGAGAGTGGTACAAGAATGAGTCTTGACCCCACCCCTCCCTGAAGTATGCTCAAACAACCCCCATGAGCAGACACTGCGTGATTGGGTCTTCATCCAGCAGTAGATTTACAGACGGGCTCGTAAATTAACGTACTGTCATTAATTAAAGCACCATCTGCGCACAATGAGGTCGCGCACACCCGCAGTTAGTGGTACGGCCTAATATCATCCGGACGCAGCACTGTCTGTGAACGATGCCATTGTGGTTACAAGGGGTAATGCATATTTTGCTTTAAGCCTCGTGGTAGGGGTGATAAACATTCGTTTATAAATGCATAGGATGAAAATCAATCAAAGGAAAACCTGAGTTGCATAGGGCACCGCTGGGGTAAGCTTAGGGATAGTCTCGCGATTCGGTTAGGCTACGTTGTGGGCAGTGCAGAAAATTAATGTGTTGAGCTGCACTGTGCGCCTGTGTGTACGCTTCCCGCCATCACCAAGCCTGAGCGACCAGCCTGGGGAAGTATGCTCAAACAATCCCCACGGCCGCTCATCCAGCGGTGTGCTATGAAGAAGGCCCATTGCTCAAAACGTCGCAGATATTGATGCCCCTTTAAGGCACTGCCATTGACAAATGTGTTTGATGGGTTTTATTTTCCATCCAGCAGTGGATTCCCAAAACGGCTGTACACATACGTGCGTGGTCATGGACCTTGTTAGGTTCGGGTTAGGCTCAGTGCTTGATTTCAGCCGTAACAGTCCAGATCGCTGTTCTCTTTATACTTTTTGCCACTCCACATCCATCTCGCCTTATCTTGTCCTCGTGATAATTATTAACCCTCATAAGGTGATAGGAATACTGTACAGCATATGGGATTATTATGGATAAGCGTACTTTGTACTATATTGGTTGCGCCTTACGCCAATAATCCCTCCTACTCTAAACAAGTCGTTCTGGAAATTATGGAGTGAGAAATGAAGCGCCGAGAGTGAGTGTACATGTGGGTGCTGTCGTGGGGAATGTATGACGTGTTCTTAATTCCATTGTGAGAAGCTACGTGACCATACTTCACCACGCTGGGCAGTGAGAGCTGACGAAGAAACCCACCTGATGTGGGGAACACACGACCCGCATTCAGTTGGCTCCAGTCACTCTGCAATTAACCAGATGCGTACAATTATTGCGCGTATCTAATACCCAACCAGCTCCAAATAGCATAAATGTACAGAGGGATATGGTGCTACTTAATAGACGTATGCAGGCTCAAGCCATACGTTTGACTGTGAATGAAAGTGAGATTGCGCAGGACGCGTCGCTAGAAGGGATGAAGTCCGGTGATAGAGACGAGCAAAGGAGCGAAACTGATGGGAGGGGAACGCGCCAGAGAGGACGACCAGGGTGGAGATGGAGCAATGAAATCGGCTCGTTTGCAGGTGCTAGGTGGATTGTTACGTCACAGTAGCAGCTTGGAGAGTCCTTGGTCCAGCAGTGGACTGATGGTGAGTGATGACGACCGATCCGGATTGTAAGGTCTTTGAGCCGCTGGGGGTGATGCGGTACATCTTAAAGCGGCGGTGTCTCCCAATCGCTCGTGCCTACACGCGATTGCTCATTTTTTAAAGCCGAGTCGACATAGGAAATCTGTGGAATCTACAGTGATATTCTGCGATTGGAATGTCATTGGTATCGGCAAATCTGTCATACTTTATTTATTAAATAATAATTTTGATACATAAATGTTGATACTCGAAACGCCATTGGCCAAATCTACTGCTGGCACTGGTGAACTCCGCGCCACCGACAGAGCTGTCCACTCCTTCACGCAGAAAGTCGGCACAGCCAAAGCTCAAAAAAGTCGCTCGATGAAGATGAAGTCGTCAAACATGGCACACGAAAGTGGGCCATGTATTGGACATGTTGCAGATCCTTCATGTACGCCTCGTACTGCTCGCAATCTGCAGTGTCCTCGTCCACTCACCAGCACACACCACTCACCAGCACACACCACTCACCACCACACACCACTCACCAGCACACCATTCACCAGCACACCATTCACCAGCACACACCACTCACCACCACACACTACTCACCAGCACACACCACTCACCAGCACACACCACTCACTAGCACACACCACTCACCAGCACACACCACTCACCACCACACACCACTCACCAGCACACACCACACTCACCAGCACACACCACTCACCAGCACACCGCTCACCAGCACACACCACTCACCACCACACACCACTCACCAGCACACACCACTCACCACCACACACTACTCACCAGCACACCCCACTCACCAGCACACACCACTCACCAGCACACACCACTCACCAGCACACACCACTCACCAGCACACACCACTCACCAGCACACACCACTCACCAGCACACACCACTCACCAGTACACACCACTCAATCACCAGCACACACCACTCACCACCACACACCACTCACCAGCACACCACACTCACCACCACACCACACTCACCAGCACACCACACTCACCACCACACCACACTCACCAGCACACACCAGTCACCAGCACACACCACTCACCAGCACACCCCACTCACCAGCACACGACACTCACCAGCTCACACCAGCTCACACCACTCACCAGCACACGACACTCACCAGCACACACCACTCCACACACCCCGCTCATTCACCAGCACACCACACTCCACACACGAACGCACATCTACCACTCACACATTAAAGTCGCTCCACGCACGATGGCGAGCCTGAGATGGGCTCCTCTTAGCATGAGATCAGTTCGGCAGATGAGATTCCATGACGGGTTTTTATGACGCTTTAATGAGTTTTTCAAGTCATTAAGTCATTGACTGATTTTGCTGGCATCAGCCTCACTCACGCACGCGATGCTGACGTCAGCCTCGCAAACGTTATTGGTTCTATCCGTGCGGCTCTTTAATCGTCGAATACATCTCACGCACCTGTTGCTTGCATCTAAATTATGCACGCGCTTGCTTTCCTATTGAGTGAAATGTCATTTCATAACGCGGACACAAAGCCTCGTCATCCATGCCGTTCCACCCTTTCGTCACCTTCCGCAATGGGGTTTTTATTCTAAACCCGCTTTTTCAGTCCACTGTTGGATGAACCCCTCCTCTCCGCGACGCGTCGACCGTGACGGTTGTCCGACCATACTTCACCACGCTGGTCTGTGCGAGTTGAAGGTAGCACGCATTGAGGAGGCTGTTGGTTGATCGGTTCTCGGTTCAGTTCAGATCTCGCTCACCACTGACGTTGTCCACGGCGTGGAATTGAAACTCATCCGCCGATTGATGGCCCCTGAATCACCAGGGCTGACGTGACCGTCTCTTCTGGGCGTCACGAGTGTCGATATCGTGCAGCACACACGAGTGGCCGGTTGCAGTGGACTGGAGCAACGGGGCCGATGCATGTGTGTGTGTGTGTGCACTGCGGCAACAATAACCCGAGTTCGATTCCCGCTCACGGCCAACACTGGTGACGAGTGTCTAAACCCGGTGCTGGGCCCTCCCCTAGGTCGACTCAGCCTCAAATGAGTACCCGGTGCGGTGTGCAAACATCACCCCTGGGGAGACAAAGGCGGCCGGGCGGCGTGGTGTTGGCCACCCACCCCCTCGTGTGCCGTGCCGGCCTTCATAGGTGCTCGCTAACAGCACTTGCCCCAACAGTCTGTTAAGGCTACACGGGGGATCGTTGTCTTTATCTTCTCGACCTAACTGTGTGATGTATAAACGTCAGCTCTGGGGAGTCGGCTTGCCACGTGTCCAGGTTTAGTCAACTGCACAATTTTGCTCGACCGAGGCTGACTGACAAATATGTCTGCGTCTGATAGGGGAACAGAGGTGGCAACCCTAAAAGGGAGACAAAGGCGGTCGGGGGTGGTGCCGGCCACACTTGAACCCGCCCAGCGTAAATAGGTGCTCGCTAGCAGCAGGTGCCCCGCAGCCTCCTATGTAGGCTACACGGAGGATCTCAATCTGTTGCCTTTGTGTGTGTGTGTGAGATTTGAGCAGACACAATATCTGTTGCCAGGGCAACGCAATTGGGTCTCTAGGGTTACCGACTCAGCAGGATGCACGGGGGGCTCGCCAGAGCCCTCTGGTGGAACTCACGGAACACTGCTGTCAATAACGCCGCGTGCGTCACAAAGAGATGCGTGGCATTGTGAACAGCAGGGACGTGAAACTCAATCGGACAGCGGACCGCTTTGGATTCAAATGCACCGAGTTGGGCCGATGAAAATGAAAAAGCATAACAGCACGGTATTCAATTGCCGAACATCGGCTGTGTAAAAAACGGTAGCTCGATCCACGTCAACAAGCCGCTTAATGTCACAACATATGAATGAATGAAATGGTATGTAGAGCCCACTTCCTGGTGCCTGACGCCTCTTTGTTTGAATCGCTACACATCAAAGTTCGGAACAACTTGCGAGAGAACTGCGACCTTTATTTGCTGTGTGCACATCAAGCATCTTTGCTTCCCATTCACCTCCACTAAGACAAAGGGGCCGTCCATAAATGACGTCACGCACCTGGGGGGGGGGGTCAGACATTTGTGACGATGTGTGACGAGCGGCGGGAGGGGGTTTGAGAAATGTGACGTCACATCAAAATGCGCAACTTTAAATAAATACACGTTCTATTTAATTAAATAGACTTTTTAATAAAAACAATTTTTCCTACAACATCAGAGTGCAGCGCCACGTTAAATACGCACTACAATGACAATAGTTTAAAGCGATTTGAAGCAGGTTTTTTTTTTTTTGGGGGGGGGGGGGGGCAGAACTTTGTGACGTCATATTTGTGCGACGAGGGGGGGTAAAAAATTGTCCAAAATCGCGTGAGGTCTAGGCGAGGGGGCATCGATAGGGAGAGAGGTGGATTAGAATGTATTTTTAAATATATAAATAGGTCATGAAATTTAAACACGTGGCGGGCCGGAGGAAGAGGCTTTTGGGGGAGCGAGTGCGGCCCGTGTGTTTGCCCACTCCCTGGTCGTCTTCTTCTTCGTCGTCTCTCCTGTCCAACCTATATCGTCTTTTATCCCCCAATGTTCTGCACAGGCCACCGCTTCTGGTGTTGGCATTGCCAAATCTCGAGGATAGTGCATTGTGGTTGCTGGCCAGGACATCTCTTCTGGGATGGATGGTGGTGGGAATCAGAGACCAGATGGCTCAATGAGCCGTTCTGTCTACAGGAAAGTAACCCATACTGACGCCTACCTTAAACCTGATTCCCACCACCATCCATCCCAGAATAATTCCCTCATCAAAACGCTACACCAAAGAGCTCAATGTATCTCCGACCATGAACACCTAACCAGTGAACTCAAACACGTACACCAAGCTCTCAAGGCGAATGGATATTCTGACTACACAATCCGCAAAGTCCAACAGTGAGGAAGGCGCCATCTGTGGATCCAATCAAAACCATACATAGCAGGGGTAACCAAAAATATTTCCAAAATCATGAACAAACACAAGATCCAGGTTCGATTTTACACAGTACATAAAATGCGTGATCTGATCCCATCTGTGAAGGACAAGATTCCTGACATGTCTGCGGCAGCAGTTACATTGGGGAAACTAAGCAACATGTCTCGGACCGTGTTCGTGAACATGAGGCAGATCTAAAACACGGTAGGATCAATACTTATGCCGTGGCTGATCATTATTTTAATGCGGCTGGCTCACACGAAATTGATTTCTCTAAGACGATGGTACTTTGCAAGCCTACTGGCTATCAACAAAGATTCATTCATGAAGCCGTCCATATATACAGACACAGACACAATTTCCACCGAGAGTAAGGTTATAGACTCAGCAATCATTGGAAAGATGTCATCAACCACTTTGGGTCATGACTTGACTTGTGTTTTCTGGTCAATCAACCTCCACCGTCAGCAGTGATTTCCTGGTGGCCCTTTGCTGCATTGGCATTGCTGCTGCATTGGCATTGCTGCTGCATTGGCATTGTTGCTACATTGGCATTGCTGCTGCATTGGCATTGTTGCTACATTGGCATTGCTGCTGCATTGGCATTGTTGCTACATTGGCATTGCTGCTGCATTGGCATTGTTGCTGCATTGACATTGTTGCTGCATTGGGATTGTTGCTGCATTGGCATTGTTGCTGCATTGGCATTGCTGCTGCATTGGCATTATTGGTGCAATCATTGGAAGATGTCATCAACCACTTTGGGTCATGACTTGACTTGTGTTTTCTGGTCAATCAACCTCCACCGTCAGCAGTGATTTCCTGGTGGCCCTTTGCTGCATTGGCATTGCTGCTGCATTGGCATTGCTGCTGCATTGGCATTGTTGCTACATTGGCATTGCTGCTGCATTGGCATTGTTGCTACATTGGCATTGCTGCTGCATTGGCATTGTTGCTGCATTGACATTGTTGCTGCATTGGGATTGTTGCTGCATTGGCATTGTTGCTGCATTGGCATTGCTGCTGCATTGGCATTATTGGTGCAATCATTGGAAGATGTCATCAACCACTTTGGGTCATGACTTGACTTGTGTTTTCTGGTCAATCAACCTCCACCGTCAGCAGTGATTTCCTGGTGGCCCTTTGCTGCATTGGCATTGCTGCTGCATTGGCATTGCTGCTGCATTGGCATTGTTGCTACATTGGCATTGCTGCTGCATTGGCATTGTTGCTACATTGGCATTGCTGCTGCATTGGCATTGTTGCTGCATTGACATTGTTGCTGCATTGGGATTGTTGCTGCATTGGCATTGTTGCTGCATTGGCATTGCTGCTGCATTGGCATTATTGGTGCAATCATTGGAAGATGTCATCAACCACTTTGGGTCATGACTTGACTTGTGTTTTCTGGTCAATCAACCTCCACCGTCAGCAGTGATTTCCTGGTGGCCCTTTGCTGCATTGGCATTGCTGCTGCATTGGCATTGCTGCTGCATTGGCATTGTTGCTACATTGGCATTGCTGCTGCATTGGCATTGTTGCTACATTGGCATTGCTGCTGCATTGGCATTGTTGCTACATTGGCATTGCTGCTGCATTGGCATTGTTGCTGCATTGACATTGTTGCTGCATTGGGATTGTTGCTGCATTGGCATTGTTGCTGCATTGGCATTGCTGCTGCATTGGCATTATTGGTGCATTTGCATTGCTGCTACATTGACATTGCTGCTACATTGGCATTGCTGCTGCATTGGCAATACTGCTCTGCCCATACTGCTGGTGCTGCTGATACACTTGGGCTACGCCCATCTCTAAACCTTTATAAACAGTTTGCCTTTAGAGGCTAACCCCTTTTCCTGATGATGACCGCTTGTGTTGCGATCGAAACGTCGTGATATTTTTATTCACTTTATTTTTTTCTTTCTATCTACGTAACTTTATAGAAAAAAACAAAAAATATGAATCCATTCGACTCTAGATAAATTGTGACATCACGCTTTAAACGCACATTATTGTACACTTGTCATATCGGGGTGACCAGGGTACTGAGTGCGAATTGATAGCGCCCTCTCCTGGCCGCAGTATAGACGGACATCTGCCAGTTCAGCAGTCTTTGAACTAGTTTTTATTTTACCAGGTGTGGGCCCACTAAACTACGTAGAAGCTACCTGGACACAAATGTTCGCTCAACCAAGTGGCTGTATTTAACCTGCTGCTGTTGTTGATAATATGCTATATTTATGTGCAGACACGAATATGGGAAGGAGGCATTATTAATGATTAGTCACCAACAACGACGCTTAATGATTGTGTTATAGATTAAGTTTATTTAAAATTATGAAACGTGTATCGGCACTTTACACAGCACACTGATTTGTTTACTGGGCAGACGACTTAAAATCGATACCCTTTTTTCTGGATTATAAGACTCACCACCAAACCTTGCTTTAAATTACATCGGGAAAAATGTCGCATTTTAAGCCGGAGTTTACTATACAGTAATATATTTGAAGTATTGTAATTTATGTATCTGTCAATAGGTGGCTCTAGTAACCAATCACAACCAGTAACTCCATTTAAAAAAAAAAACAGTCGCCTTTTTAAAAAGCGGAGTTTTCTGTTGTTACACATCTTTCGTGAATTGCTCATTCTTCTACTTTTGGTTCTCAATTTTAAAGCGGAATACAAATGTATCTTATCAAATCACGAGTTTTTTATGGGGTGCAGTGGCGGTGGTTGTGCACGCGCACTGCACCATGGGACCCAGCGAGCGACCGGCGTTTTATTCCAGGCCACGGCTCAACATTATCTGGTTCGGACCTGTACCAACAACCCATGCTGACCAACGTGACTGCCACATTATGGGAGGGCCTTCATCCATTATAGATTTTAAAGACGGCTGTATTTTTTTTACTGACTAGGTTCAAGGGGATACTGATAATAAAATTAAATGTCAAGTGTTTTTACCAACTGTTATTTTCAGGCAATATTCCCATTCAGTAAATTCTCTCCCATCCAAATGTCTTCCCATGAACGTTCTCAAAGCTCTTATGGCCTTTCTCATTTCAAGAAATGTGCTAAATCCTATTACAACTCTGACAGTGCTGTGTGTTGCTAACTGCTTGACTTGTTGGGCCTTTGAGCCTCCTTTGTTTAAAAAAAAGTATTGGAAGTTGGGTGGTAGTTGGTGTCAAGATGGACTCAGTAGGGTACAATGAATCATCAGCGTGAGGATTTTTCTCTTGCAACCTATGGAACATGTATTTTAAAACCGGAACGTTCTCCGAATGAGCAAGCATTCCCATTGGAATATGGTGTTCTTTGAGGGGTATTGAGAGACAAAAAAGGGAGTACATTTATTAACGGTTACATACAATTTTAATGGTTAAGAAGAAGCAAGTGAGTTTGGGCAGGACACATCGCTAGGAGGGAGCAATTGCAGGTGTGCGTCTTAGCACAATTTACCATAAAACGCGTCTTATAATGGCAACAGTTAATTTATTGAAAAAAGCCTCCCAGTTCCAAAGGTGAGACAGCACATGACATTGAATGGAACCCGTGATGCGGGAATACATACAAAGGCGCACATCAAACACCTATCAATTTCAAACCATCTATTATATAAAAGTGAGATTTATGTAGTCGACAATTGTCCACTAGTGAACGCACACGCTGAGAAAATAGTATTGCATGTTTTAAAAGTACCTTACGGACCTGATATCAGTATTTAACAATATATTTATGCTACAATATTTACTTACATCATCATTACAGCCTAAAGCACAATTAATGGAACAGGAGAAAACCCACTACAATTACCAAAGTGGAAGGTCTTTTCATTTATTTGATAACATAAAAAAGATGCCCATGTTAGCCTCAAATTATCAGGACAAGTGCTGTTCTCAATTATTGAGGCTAGCGTGGCACAAGATTGCAGTGGTAGTGGCAGTGACATACCTGGCCACCTTTGTCTATCCGGTGCAGTTAAGCCTGAAAACTGCAGGATATGCACATTCTTGGCTGGCTCAGCCTACCAAAGGGATGAGCAACGAGGCTCAAACCCAGGTTAACTGGGATGGTGGTCGAAGCGTGCAAGCTTCTGCACTCTCTTTCCGCTTGCATACACTTTTAATGCCCACGTGTGCAAAGCAGTTTGCGTGTCACAATTAGAGTCGCACTTGTCGACGTTAATGGGTTTCCTCCCCTCTCAAAAGAATAGCAGCATACGTCACATACATTTTGCTATACTATAAAGCTAGATTCATCGTCCTTCCATAGACCTCGTTAACAGCACACTAAACAGGATGTACTTATACTCTTGGTTCTTTCGGTAAAGTCACGTTTCCCTTCAAACGTGACTTTACCGAAAGAACCAAGAATATGAATCACTGCAGTCACGAAAGCTTTAAATCAAAATTTAGGATGTACTTATGCCTAACGATAATATCGACAGCAATTAAATACAATATAAGGGCGTCCTCTGTAGAAATCGGCACAACTCCGTCACGTCACATTTCATCCAATCGTCCGTCCGTCCACCCAGCTTAACCAACCCATTTGCAGCCAAGCAAAAATAGATTGGGGTGCGTGAATAAAACCAGCAAGCTGAGAAGTTAGGTTTTATTTGGTTAATGTCTGTACATAGATACATGCATATGCAGTCTCCGTAAATGTTAAGAGACATTGTACCTGTTAAGAGACTTTTTTTAAATTAATGTCAGCTGGCAAATATGAATTTGTATCAAAATAAGTTGAATATGTTAAAAATAATTAGTGCTTGGAGTCACCAAGTATTAGGCTGCATATGTGGTGTACATGCACAGTTACATGCATTTCCTTCAATTGAGGTTGCCAAATAAAATTTAATATTCTGCAAAGAAACAAAAGACATGTTTTATGCTATCTGCTTTATGTTAAGCTCCGGTGGTTTAGTTAACAGCCACTCGAAACCACAGTCACCACGAATGCGTGCGTGTGCTTAAACTAATTTTATCTTAAGCGCTTGACCTACCAACCACATGTATGTCATGCGTGCCATGTCTATGTCTGCAAGCATGGCAGCTATTGAATAATTTTAGCATTTATTTCAGCGTCTGTACGTACGACGCCAATAATATCCACGTGATAACATCAACGTTAGTGCACACGAGGTGTATTTATCTACAGCTACCCAAAAGGCATTTCGTCCCTGAATGACTGACTCCATTATTTGAAATTTGCTCGAAACCTCTGCACATTTTTTTTTCTTAATTGCATTGTGACAGTGGGAAGTTTGTGCGCTTTATGATTCGGGTGGCCGGATGCTTGAGATAAATAGTTTCGGAGGGGGATACTGATTGGAAGAGCAGAGTACGACTTTTGGCATTCACGGGCTTGTGGTGGAGGATGATAACGACAAAGTCAGTAAAACCAAGTCAGATTACACGTTGGTATATAAACGAAGGATAGCAGTCTGTTGCCCATTATTAAGTCCTAAATCAGTGCTCGCACAAATATGTAGTTGCTGGCATTTGCACACACAAGCCTTTAACAGACAGTTGGGCCCAGTGCTGTCAGCAACAACATATGAAGGCCAGAACGGCATACGAGACGGTGGTGTGGTCAGCACCACGCCCGAGGCCGCCTTTGCCTCCCCAGTGGCGATGTTTTTACATGTCACACCAGGTACTCATTTGAGACCGAGTCTACCAAGAGGAGGCCCAGGATCGGATCAGATATTCGCTGTCACTATTGGTCATGAGCTGGAATCTAACTTAGGTTGCGCAGTTAGTAGTGCACTGCGCCACCGTTCCCTACGCGCACGCACACATTGTCCGGAAATGGACAGGATCATTCCACTATCCCAGTCACCAACTTCTCCAAAGGCTGCGGTTTATCAACGCCACAATCCGCATCGGACACGCTTGTGATACATTCTCTCAAATGGGGCTTACAGGTCATTGTGGGGTGATGGGGCCGCCAAGTCCAACAATCATCTCAGATGCATCACCGCCCGAGCCGGTGGATGAGATCAACTTTAGCAAGAGCGACGGCTACCGAGTGCTCAACGTCGACTATTCCTCACTTGCCCTGCCAATTGCAGTATAAATACATTTCGAGGTTCCTTTACAACCAAATGACCTTTAGCTGCTGTTGCATCGCGACTTGTGAAACGCGGGCTGTTTAACCGCACCAGCACCCCGTACGTACTGTACGCACCGTACACAGCGAGGATTGCTCTTTAGCTCCCACTCAAGGGACTCGGGGTTGCAGGCCAGTAGCTATAATGTAGGGATGGTCAGAACTGCAATTCTTAACGGTGTCAAATAGTCAATTAAATTTCCAATCGTATTTATTTAAAAATGCAATGATTTTCTTCACAACGCCTTATAATCTGCCTACCTCCACAGCAGGAAAAAAGTAAAACGCATCGTGTTTTAACCGTAAGGATCGGCACCTAAATGCAACTTAGGAAATCAGAAGCCAAAAAAAAGAGTACACCAATCGCAATTCTCCAAAGCAACGTGGTCGCCTTCGCTGATGACGTTCTACAAAAACGAGGCACTAGGGGGGAAAACGGCGACGTGAGCAGATCGCCCGAGTGAGCGCCAACTGCCGGAGATAAAAATACCTGCTGTCCCCCCTCTGTCGCTCGATCGCCTCACCTAAGCATGAGATGCAGTGGGCGAGGGGCGGTGGTGTAGCGGCGAGAGTGGAGAAGGGGGGGGGGTGCAGGGAGGTGCAAGTCGAGTTGGCAGGTGGCCAGAGTGAAACTCAAGCCCGAGGTGGCTGGTGCATGGCCGCTCGTCACCGTGGGCAAAACACGGCGGGAGGAGGGAGGGGGGGGCCTTGTGCCGGGTATTTATGGACGCGAGGAAGGGCCGGGTGTGTGCGTACGTCTAAGTGTTAACGCTCACGACCGCAAACGCCTACGTGCGCCCCACCCCCCCACCAGCCTGTGTTACTGTGTCACTCTGCGATGTTGTTCCGATGTGGTTCCGGGTTGTACCGCGTGTTGTCCGGTAACGTTGTCCCGACGTTTCGCTCCACATGCTGGGGAGCTTCAGCCCCGGGGCGTCGCGCCGAACGTCACTCGGCACGACACGCGGCACACACGTCGGAGAGCCCCACCCCCCCCTCAACGTGAACGACGGCCGCCGATTTTGTCGACGTGGCACCTGCCCATGCGTACGCGAAAGGACGGTGCATTTTTACTGCACTGTGATTTTCGGCACACACAAACAAGGACTTTTGGTGCAATGTTGGCAACACACCCATAACATCCGTCTGGGCAGCATGTGTCTGTGTATGCGTGTGCATGTGCACATAGCCTGGCACAAGCGCCGTGGTGACGTCACCGCCACTTAGTGGCGAAGGGCGTGTGTTGTTGTTGTGTGCATGTGTGCGCATGTGTGTGCATGTGTGCGTGTGTGCGCGTGTCGGTGTATATACAGGCGGCGCCCGCAGCAGTGGCGACACCTAGGTGAGCATGTCCCACACGCAGCAGCAGCACATCGCGGCCATGCAGGCCGTCAGGCACGTCTCGGTGGTGCTGCTGTTGTTGTTGCGTCTCTGCTCCTGCACCACGTACACTGAGGGCGACACGACATCCAACAACAACAACGGCAAGCGCGCACGTGTTAGACGAGTTTACAACTTTGGAACCGAACTTCGGCACGGTCTTTGACGAACTCAACCGTCAGATCTCGAAAGCTAAGCAGGGTCAGGCTTGGCGAGGGGATTGGATGGGCGACCACCATGGAATAACAAGTTGTGCAACATGGGGTTGCTGCTTGGCTGCGTGGTGGAAACCAGACAGCAGTGCAGCAAAATCGATTGTTGTACTGTACATTGATGCTCCCACGTCAACGCTCCCCACCATTATCAACCCGCACAGACGAGCGGTCATATAACGGCCATGACCCACGTGGGCATTGGGGAGGCTCCTATTCAGCAGTGGATTGACAAAGTGTTCATCAAACTTACACTATAGACCTTCTCAACAGAAGAACGTTAGACAAATTTCACCACAAATTAAAAGTGTTGTTGTTTTTTTGGGTACAGTTATTGATCATTAACTCGCTCCCCTCGAAAATCTGGTTTTAATCATGCACGGTTGAATCTCGGACTATGAACCCTGGGCCCTCAATGTTGCTGGAAAAGCGGAGCCACCCGGCCACATCCCTGCAACCCCGTTTTAAGAAATAATAAAAGGGAGGTCTCCCTGTTAATTATTCATCAGACACACAACAGGAGAACGTGCCATAATTTATGTATTCGCAGGTGACCTTCATAATCAATAACAGGCAGTAGACTTTACCCACATTATTATATCATCATCACACTCAATGGAAGGCAAATTACCGGGTTTACCGATGACGAGGATCATTTGTTTGCAAGTGTTAGCGTGAAATAAGACAAATTAGAGATTGAGGCCAATGTTACCCTATGCGTAAAACCAAATCAACTCCCGGCCATAATTTTCAATGGCCCACAATTGGAAAACGTTGGTATTTGCGTAAGAGCTTAATATAGATTCGACTATATTTGCACTAAATATCAGCATGCGATTAGAATTTACATCGGTCACTCAGGTTGCGATAGGTTAAACGTTATATGTGCCATTTCACAAACGCAGGCCCTTAACGCACGACGACCTCCAAACCGTGCAAGATAAAACGTCCCATAAGTCTGTGGGGGATAGGGACTGTGGTGTCCATGGGGCTAGAGAAGTTGGGGCAGTTCCACGAACAGGGCAAGCTTGCAATTCCTAACGCCATCGTGTAGCCGTGCGTCAATGCACACTGCAGGATGAGCGGCCCTTCTCACCACGTGTGCGTCATCGGGGGCGACTCGCTTCTACCGGTTCAGTGCGCTGGGCAGTGAGCGTTGGAGCATAGATGTGGGAGCACAGTACAATACAACTGTCCTCCGATTCTGACCAGGTAGCTCCACGGCCTATGATAAACTGTCATACATGGTGATCACCCATACAAGCATTATCCGTGCTCAATCTTGCTTAGCTTCTGAGACCTCATATGATGGGATGCGGTCAATTTCATTATCATTCTAATAAGACTACATATGGAGTGTTATTTTGAAGATGATGATAGTTTTAGAAAACATGGATTGTCATGGAATAAACTAACGAATTGACACTTCAATGAAACTCAATGCACCATCACCATCCCAGGGTGGATGAAAAAGTCAGTTTGTCCACCACGATGATATTTTAACAACATTCTCCCCGATTAATAAAAGTGGAGAAAAAAATGTCTATCTGAATGACAGTCCTCATTGGTTAACACGCTACGCCCAAATAAAGAGCCAACACAAAACAAATAGCCACTTTGTGATCATTACCTGCTAATCGTTACCCACAGCCTAAAGGCGTCTGACATGTACATCCAAAAGCGTAGAACTATCCAGGTGTAAAAGCATCGCATGCCTGCTAAAGTCGAGAATGAAGACGGCCGTTTAGTCGACTGTTAACAGGAAGTGCAGCCAGCAAGTGCCACACGCTTCAAGAACCCCGAGAGAGCAAAAGTCCACTCAGGGACACTTATGTCATACTTTGGTCCTCAATAAACATGTATTGATTCACAGGAGCAAGGCTTCTTCAATTAAGTCTGAGGATCATATCCGGAAAATACAAATAGCAAGTGTTTTTGTTACTTTGGCTGAACGTCTAAAATGAAGTGAATTTTAAGCCAGGTTGCACTTCAATCTTGGTTGCTACACTAGCGATACAGGCAGGTGACAATTTGTAAATTATGTCAAACGCAAATCACACGCAAATGTTGCAGTTGGGTTAATGGAGTGGACAAAATTGTAGAGATGAAACAAAACGAGAGGAGTGATGCATTAGCCTGGACTATTCTAAATGTTCACAAAAAATATGGAAACCAGAGTGCTCGGGGGGAGAAGGGGGGGGGGGCGCAGGGAGAAAGTTGAGTCGCTATTCAAGTCCTGTGGCTCATGGAAACGCGCTCTAAGGTGCTGATAACTGCTCCCCCAAACGGACAACTGGGATGGCAACTTCAAATCTGAATCGCTGCCGGAAGTCACGCGCACTACCCGAGGTTGCAGTGTTTTGTAGTCCAGTGATTATTGATCACTCACTTTGCAACAAACACTTGTTTTCACTGGCCAGACAAAACTCCATCAATCAATGGTACGATTGCCATACACACTGAACAATTAGGAATAACCTAGAGTGCAACTGTAGAAACCAATCTAAAACTGTGGAGTACGTGGGAAGGCCACCATCCCCTTGAACATTCACCAGCAGTGTTTCAGATATATTGACCATGACGCTACTCAAAAGCTGGCTCACCCACCAGACATGACCAGATAAACACTGCTGATTTATCATGCAAAGTTGGCGTATTTGCTCAAAGTAAATGAGTTTCCGGTGATGATTAAAATCTGTAGTTGCAGTTGAACAACAACCTTTGTCCAGGACTTTTGCAACACTTAATACGCAAAAGGAAGATTGAGGTAAGTTGTGCAAGTTTACAAAGCGTCGCATTGGTAACGCACAAACCTCAGCGTGTGCTTCAGGGCTGTTGTGCCCTACAACACACCACCGGCGAGATAGCGGTGCAAAGCAGAAATTGAGACACGTGGAGAAAGGCTTTCGTCAGATATTTCTTCAGAACATTAGGAGACGTTTGCAGTCGCAGGCGTGCTTCCTTGTTGCGCAGTCGCGAACGAAGAGTGGCGTGATATAGAATCGTTCCAGTGAGTAGGTTACCCATCCTCCTCTGCCGACCCCGTAGTCTTGAAATCCCTTCTCCCAACCATCTGTGCTGTTGACTCCCTGCTGCTGTTCAAGTCCAAGCTTAAGACCTTCCGTCTATGCCTGACTGCCTCCACAAAATGCATATGCGCACTCATCCTGTACAACGTCTTGAGATCGCTATATAAACTAAATTACATTGTATTGATACTCTGGTTCTTTCGGTAAAGTCACGTAGGTAGAATTTAAAAAATATATTTTTTTTTACCTACGTGACTTTACCGAAAGAACCAATAAGTATGGATTCCTGCAGTCACGAAAGCTGTAAATCAAGATTACATTGTATTGTTTTAGAAATAAAAAAATATTTTGGACGCAAATGCCAGGCAGCACCAACCCTAACGTTGGGGGCCCTTATTTCGGCGAGCAACTTCCAGCGAAATGCAACCACTGTACACCAGCAGCCTCTTAGGGGGGGATGGTGTCGCAGGCCCGACTCACACACCAAATATAACCAGAGCCATGCCAACCGGCCTCCCACCCTGTATCGTATGCTAAACAAGGCACCAGTTCAGACACAACGCGTGCTCTGTTCCACTCACCGCCGGGTAAAGCATGGGGCTCCGTGGATAGAGGGAGAGAGAGAGAGAGGGGGCCTTCAGGGAAAAGTGCATTAGGCTTGCAAAAACATTTCTCGGTGGACAGTCGTGCCTGCTCCGGGTTTTCCAACCAAACTTTTAACAAGAAAAATCATGCATTACACATTGCTTAGTTACGAATAATAATGTTACGATCAAAGCCGCACAACAGAGATGAGATATTTCTGGAACGGGTCAATGTTTTGACTCGTACACCAAACCAAATGTAACCATCACTCCGGCTAAAGTCAGTTCAACCGAGATCGTCCAACACCACGGCATTTTTATCAAGGAAGATGGGGAAATTATTTGTATTTTAATTCAAGTTAATTGGTTGACATACTATCCCCAAGGCCACTTCGTGACGCACCTCCAATGAGCACGGTTGGCTTCGTATGGTGCGAAAGAACTTCAACATACATAGCTATAGGTACATATCAATAAAACAGCAACGTTTTTTTATAGCTTGATCAACAACTACAACTCCCATGCCTCACTCAGCACCCCACATGTCCCTCACCGTTCCCCTAGTTGGGTGTAAATGTTAATTTAAATGCTCATCTGCAAACAGCATCTGCAATGTGCTGATCTTCGGGTCAGATTGTAAATGAAGCAGATTACGGAACTGTCTGCCCCATTCTCCACTTCCCCACTGCCCCTCCCTTCAAATGGTGCTGTGCCTACTTCATCCCATTGTGACACTCGATAAACAGACTAATGACTACAACCACCACCGTTTTCATTTGACCTTTTCACTATGATCTCCTTAAGCATAGTAGTGCCCTTCTCCCTATAAGCGTGGGCAGAAGATGGTGAATCTGTGTGGAGATTTAAAGGTTACCCCTCCTCGTATTCCTGGGTTGTCTCCAGGTTCTCTAGTTTCAGTTTAACACGTAGGCTTCTCCAGTTTCCACTCACATGCCAAACACAACACATTCGTAGAATTGGCCGTGCATCCCTGTGAAACAGTCCACCCCTCTTAATATCCGGCAAAGGATTTCCCGGGATAAATTAAGTCCATTATTATTATTCTTATACAATTGTGATTTTTTTTTCAAAGCCTATCTGTTTCACATATTTGAATTTGTTTGCCATGTTTCTGGAGCTATTGAAACCCAGGTTCTCCCTCTTGAAGAGGACCCCTGGAACTAAACTGTTTTTTATCTGGTCACAAGCAACGGCCATCAGTCTCAAATTCACCACATCGCTCTGTCACAAGTTAAAGCCTCCGCGAGGCTTTCCCGAGTATACAGAATACTTATTTATACGGGAGGAATCCGATGAGCTATGAAACTATTTTTCACAGATGTCCAGTAGGGGCGGGTCAGAACGTTACAGCAACAAACAATACAAAAACATGATAGAAGTACAAAGTTCAAAAAGGTAAACAAATAACCCAAACAAATGCAATGAAATCTAAACCATCCCCATCCTACCAGGCAAAGCCCACTGAGGTATTAACTTATTTTTCAGAAGCCACTCAACATTCAAGTTTTATTTATTTATTTTCCAAGTCAAGCCTCCCGATTCTATTCAGTTGCCCGTTAAGCTGAAGCACTGCGTGTTTTGTTTAAAGACAATCCCTCTATATTTACCGGTCGCTCAGCGCTGGTGAAAAACACATTTTTATATATATAGACAAAGTATAGAGGCATTAACGTAGAGCAGAAGAGGGAATCCTGAGCAACCAGTAAATATTAACAGATAAGAATTACATTTCCAGCAGTTGACTTAGGGTGTGATCCAAGGCAACCGAAACTTCACTTTTCACGAAAGTGTATAACATGTCGAGTGGTCCCCTAGCATACAAGCGACGTTGTTATCCTTGTAACACACTGAGGTCCAACAGGCTCGGCACCCACCCGCACCCAGCTCCACAGGCCAAAGTACTTCCCCCCCCCACGCGCCCGTCGCCCCCCCCTCTAACCCGTATCTAAGCTACCCATGTAGTGGGCGAGGTTGGCAGGCGAGTGGGTGGAGCCTACGAGCGGTGGGCGTGGCTGGCAACAGGATTGGGAACCACGGCGCACCCTGGTTGAGCCCACGCAAGAAGCCGGTAGCCGTACCTGTATCGGGCTTGGGCTGCGCGCCATACTGCCCCGGCGGCTGTGGCTGCGGAGCGTATCCCGGGTAGCCTGGCGCCCCGGGCTGCCAGTTGTACTGCGGCTGTCCCGGCCCGTAGCCCGGCTGGGAACCAGGAGGGTAGGGCGCTGGGGAGAGACGGCGAACACAAGGTGAATGTGACGAAGAGATAAAGCGTGCCCAGCGGATACATTCACCTGTATGTGTAAACTACTACATTATTAAACTAAACAATCTTTATTTTGCCAGGTAAGGCCCACTGAGCTATACAGCTCTTTTTTTTTTAAGGAGCCACATAGCTCAACAAAGTGGCTTATCGTCAAGTGGAAATGTATTGCAGCCGAATACTCTGAACGCATGTTGATTCTAAATGTGGAGGGAAAATTTGAAGGACCTGAAGAAGAATCCACGCGACCACTGACAGAACACGCAAACTCCAAATATACAGGTGTCAGTCAGGATCACACACACAACCTCCTGCATACCAGGCGAGGGAGTTAACATCTCACCACCGCAACATGCCCATCAACCCTCCAAGGTCGATACAATGAATGCCACTTGAAGCAGATCTGTTTCTCCGTGTGAACACAAAACATGCCCACCATCCCTGCACGGTTAATACAATGAGTACCACTTTCAGCAGATATTGTAGTTATCAGTGTGAACACTAAGCATGCTGATTATTCTTTCAGGATTAACAAAATTTGGTACTACTTTGTTAGATGTCCATAGTTGATTATTTGTATTGATTGACAACCCCTGCAAAAATGTTGAATGTGCAACAATGGCTCAGTGTACTTATAGGAGATGGGTTCAGTACTATACAACGTGGATTAATATAGCATCTAAATAAGACTGCACCTCAAAACGCTTTACAAAAAGTGGGCATCCACATGAAAAAATCTATACCTCGTGATGGCTAAAATGACTTCACTTTTAAGGGACATTACATTATCCATAGGTTTCTGCACATGACGTCTGGTATTGGCACGCTATTCATGAATTTAAGTTAACGAAACCACAAACCAGACGGGATAAACTCAGGAAGAATACAAACGAGACAGTTAAACGGGACAATAATTGACTTGAATTTGATCACAAACCAAACTGTGATATTGGGAAGAATCGATGCACACGTCAATAATATACAGCCCTTCATCAAGCCACTGCTGGATGATGGTCTCCTGACATGACGTTGGACCAATCTTCACCACGCTGGTCAGTGCAGGTTGGAGCCAGGAATTATCAAAATATCATTCGCCACTGATATTAGCCATGGCCAGGAACCGAACGTAGTGTCTGGTCGCCACGCCAACCTCCCCTCCCCCCCCATTGCATACATTGGTAAAATATATTCGCATTCATGGAGCCCTCTAAATGAAACATTTCAAAAGTCTGTACAAAAGAGGGGTATATACACTGTACGTTCGTTATTGCGCACCCTTGCAATGCTGCGTACATGAGAGCAATGTAACACAAGCCTCTGTTTGTATAGTGATACTCCAATGTGTCTGTTGTACAGATATTAATGAACTCCACTCTTCCCTTGGGACAGCATCACTAAGCACCGAATCATACAACAAAAACCTCCACCGTAAAATGCACACGCCCCCGAGGATTAATTAAATTTACTGTACTTAGATTTGTATTTATCATTCATTATTTGCCCAGGAAACCTGACTGAAGTTGATCGTGGAAATGTGCCACTTGATGATATTTGTAGGACCAATTTGAACCCCGAATGGGATTTGAACCTGCGACCTACCGACTTGTGAGCCGTGCGCTCCAAGCACTGGAAAGTACCGAATCCACATTCAGACTACCTGGTTTAATGTTATTGTTTGTGGAGATTTTTAGCGTATGCACGCGCACGCACACACAGACGCATACTCTGCAAGTACAAGCATGGATTAAGGTCACCTTGAACTGCAATCCAAGCTCGAGCCGTGGGCATTCTCCCATACCTTTGGCTTAGCTGACACCCAACCCCTTCTAACTGTTGTGCAGGGGCCCCCTGTAGGCATGGCACAACTCACCAACCGGCCAGGTGGCTCAGTGGTAGAGAGCGGGCGGCTCGCAATGGAACTGTCGCGAGTTTACAAGCCCATTGGAGCGGCTGACTCGGCTCATCAGCCCTCCACACTTTGGTTGGGAAACCAAGGGTGGTGGTTGGTCCTCTGGAGAGACTCGTCCCAAATGATGGGGCCACTTTGTTGAGTGGCTATCGTTTAGTGGTAGCCAGGTCGCTTCTGAAAAATAAGTGAATACCTCAGTGGGCTTTGCCTCGTAGGATGGGGATGGTTTAGTTGTCATTGCATTTGTTTGAGTTATTGTTTTTACCTTTCTTGTACTTTGCACTGCTATCATGTTTTTTTATTGTTTGTTGTTGTAACGTTCTTAACTGCCCCTACTGGACATCTGAGAAAAATAGCTTAGAGCTCATTAGATTCCTCCAGTATAAATATAAATTCAGATTATGATGAATTCCACCACTGGCTCAAGGGTATAAAGTTGAGATGAGAGCACTGTCATAATACTCATTTGAGCAGGAAATAACTTGACATTATTCTGGCGATTGATTTAATTTCATTAAACAAGCATGTACCTTTAATATCGTTTAAATACCTCTGTGTAAATGCCTGTACATTTCGTTCCACGCGTTCAATAAACAAACGATTGACATGAGAAAGAATGTGGTTGTATTTCTTCATTACGCATCCACAGCACGGGTAAAGTACAGAGTCATTCTTTTGTTGCTCTCTAAAACCGCTTCGTGACACTGGGTAGCACAGTGCTTAAGTGGAGCGGCTGTGCACATTGGAGGGAGGGAAGGGAAACGTAAAAAACAAATATAAACATAACGTTGCCACTCGGAGAACAAGTTGTTATACATGCATGTAATAGGGGACAAGACAAAGTTCATGAACACGCTTCCAGCACGTGGATCGCAACGTCGGGCATCGTGTGTCTAACGAGGCAGAGCGCACAACCCGACTACGCTCGAGGGAGCTGCACAACACAACCATGAAAACCCGCGCACAAGTAGTTAACATGCTTTTTCTTTTAAAGCCATCCGTTATTGTATAGGGGGGTCAGCGTTTTCTCCTTCGGGGGGTTTGACGCTGTAATTTACACACCTGCGCAGACACACGCGAAGCAAGGAGTCTGGTGAAAAAAAAAGTGTCTTTGTTGAAGTTGTGACATTTACCGCAGGCTGCTGTTACAAAGCGCATGACAAACAACAACAAAACGGACTTAGTAGCAGACTTAAGTGGACCGAAGAGCATTGTTTGCCCAGCAGTGACAGCACAAACAATGAGTGGCCCAGTTCAGCAAGGCAGTGTGGGTGAGATTAATGGGAGCATGGCAAATTTTAAAATAACACATTTAATAATGTAAATGTACTATATGGGGGGTAAGGGGGTTGTTGTATTGTGTTTTGTGCATGACACTGAAGAGGCCAACTGCTTTTTACTTATAACGAGTGTTACTATTCCAAGTATCCCCGTACAGAGATAGAAAGTGTCACTGTGCGACTGCTGGGCATTTTAGTCATCATTTGATTAACAGACCATTCTATGTTGGGGTCTTGGAAAGATATTAGACTGACGCACCAGCGTCTGATGGGGGGGGGGGGTCTTTGGACAATTTTACAATGACGCACCGATCTTTGATGGGATCCCGAGATAATATTCTACAGATTGAGCGGTCTCTGATGGTGTTTTTAGACAACCGGCAGACTGGTATCTGAAAGGGTCCTTCCTTCACAGGGCAATTTACATTACAATTTGGACATATCTGACACTGTAAAAACACAGTGGGGATATATATATATTTCATTGAAATTATGCAGGAGAAACACCACAAGGTCTAGAGACTTTAGACAATAATAGACTGACAAGCCGGTCTGAATGAGTACAATAAGATGGACCTGCCTTTAAAAAATAAAACGCGGACGATTCGTTGATTAACCGATTAAAAATTGCAATCACCTACTTTTTTGTAGTTGATTTATTGTGCCCTTTAAAAATGGCAGCCCCTCCTCCCTACACACGCAGCCTCCCAAAGGTGGGAAATCCCAACAAGCCCCGCCCCCAGGTTGACGCGGTAGACGATGCCGAGAAAACCACCATGCCCTGCCCATCACCTCCCACCCAGCAAAACGTGGGAACGGCCAACTATTTTGGTTCAATAAAATTACCCAAACAGTCAAACAGATAATCGGCAGACTAATCGAATACTTACATAATCTCAGTTCTCAAACAGAAATTATCGGACGAATGGGGGTTTCCTTCACCAGGTGAGAGCGCTGCATAGTTACCTGGGTATGGGTTTGGGCCTGGGCCTCCGTAAGGTGGGGGCTGTCCTCCAGGACCTGGGTAGGGGCCTGCCGGCTGAGGGTACGGCTGCTGAGGGTACGGCTGCTGAGGGTACGGCGGGTAGGGTTCAGCACCCGGGTACGGAGGCGGTGCCGACGGATTCATTTATTTAGCACAAGAGGGTCAGCCGAGCTGCAGAAGAAGGATCCCTGTCAGGAAGAGAGGGGTGGGGAGAAAGGGACACGTTGACTACGCAAGAAAATGATTTCTTCCCCACAATTCATGATCACGATTGCCGGCGCACAGCTCGAAACGTCAGACACTATGTCTAACGACACACAGTTTAGCCAAAAACACAACTGACAGATATGCAGCACAACCACTGAAACCTTCAAAGTAGGATTCAATCTCCTTATTGCCATTGTGAATTCATAGTGCGAGCAAAACGTTCACACACGTGATAGGGTTTCCATGAACGACTACCATGAAATACGAAGTAGAAATTGGAAATAAAACATTTACATGTGCACCAAGCGACGCATGTGTCGTGAGCACGATAACATGCTGTAAAATAGATTTTTCGAATTTTATTACAAATGTGCTATCAACAGCATGTCAACAGAGACGGTGTCCCTTCAGAACTCATGCACAGCAATGCAGCATTAAAAACATCAGATAATGGCCCATGAACGGATATCACTAAACTAATTGTGAGATGCCTTCACATGACCTCCTATCCACATCAGGGCAACTGTACCATGCGCTCCTTCTATATATACGTTCATATGTTGAACTGTGCATATGTTGAACTTTTTTCGCACCATACGTAGCCACGATGCAGGCAATTTAAAGTAAATGTATTTATTTACAATGCTGTCATTTATGAACAGATTAATTGGAACCAAAATATTAGAACCATCCCGAGGGTACAAATGATCGGGGCGATCGCCCCGGGCCCTGCGCTTTGACGTCAGTGTCAGACGTAATATTCCCAGAATAGGGGGCCGACACAGCGGGATTATCCCCAGACCTCCCCTATGGACTGCCCGACTAAATAAAATATATATTTTATGTGCAGTCAGAGGGGTGACCGATGAGACCATCTGCACACGACACCTTAAGAAATCTGGTCTATTCAGAGTTGGGGTAGCCAAACCCAGTTTTGGCCATGTCAGCAGTTGCACCTTCGAGCTCCCGTCTCTGAAGACACAAAGCAACTCACGTGAGATTAATCATCGCATGTCTTCTGCCGGCGACCATGCCATCACGTGCACGCACCGCAGAGAAGAGGAACATGCAGACCATGAGACTCGTTCGTGCTAATGGCTTGGGGCACACAGCCTTGGCTCCAGCCAATCCTGATAAAACCTCACCAAACTGCCCAAAACCGCCCACATTACATTACAAGTTTCCAAGACGAGACTCCACACCCAATTGGTATGCGCTGGGTTTAACCAGTAAACACAATGCTACGCTCTGTTGACTGCATTATGAACATCACCATCATCATTATCAGCCTCAATCTCTCCACTGCCAGATGAAGGCATCACCAAGTCATCACCGTCTATCGCAGTCTCACGATGCATTCGTCCATCTCACTCCTGCACAAGAGCCGATCTCGTCACTCCCTCTCCGCAGTGGACGTCACTCCCTCTCGAGTCTTCCCTCCTTTGGCTGCCACTCTGCCGTTCGTCTCTACCACCGGCCATTGTTCTTTATAACCGACGTGTTCTGCTGACGTCTCCAAACTGTCTTCCATCTGCCAACTTCATTGGCATGTGCAAGCACCTATCCACACATCTTTGCGCACTCATCAGGTCTTCTATTACCATTACCGTAATGAAGAAACGCTCACTGTACGTGCCACACAAATTCCACAGCGATTCGATTTAGAATGAACGACGTAAATGTGATCGTCGGTACGACTGCGTGATGGCGTGTCCGACTCCCCCTTTGGTGTGTACTTTAGCTACCTTCTTCATGCGGTCTCAGCACAGCTCTTGAACTCACAAACACCCACACACCCACGTGGGGTGAAGAGGCCTTTAGCCAGCAGTTGATTAACAAAAAATCAATGATACCGTAACTTCTAAATATCTTTAAAGAATATAAAATGCACAAAATGCTAGCTCAGATTGGTGAACGCATCATGTCAATGTGAATAATGATTAACAATCCAGCGGTTTTACCCATTATAATAATTCAATACATTTTTGTTTGTCCAATCTTGTTCACCGAGTTGTGCTCTTTGTAACGTGCATATTTTTTTGCATAAATCGTAAGTATCATGAGTATACAAACATATTTTTAATAACGGAATCACAGCCTTGCTACTTAACAAACAGGTCCCTGCAGGGTGGGCTGGTAGGACAAGTCTCTGCGCTGTCTATTGCTGATTTTACACCCAACAGCACGAGATTTCACTTCGTTAAAGTATTGAAAGGGGACGGACGGACGGACACATTAATCTATTGCAGGCTGGTACACTCAGTTTACAACTTCGTTCCTACCAGTAAAATTATATATATACAGCCCTTGGTCGAACCACTGCTGAATGACGGTGTGCGCCCCCGCCTTGTCAGTAATGGGAGTTATTTGACCATACTTCACCACGCTGGTCAGTGCAGGCTGCTGAAGGACAAAGTAGCATAAACAAATCTCTTATGAACACACCATATGTCATGTACAGCCAAAGCTTGCTGTTTGTACCGTGACCGATGTAACCATGATTGTAACTCGGACCTGTACTGTACAATACTATAATATAGCCAATCAGCTTATTGGGCCCTTCCTGCTGAAATAAATTAAATCTATCTTTCTAATCGTTGCATCGGAAACAATTTATAGACGGCTTCGACGGTGCAGGTTCAATACGACTGGCACATGTGTAAATTGTGAAATCCATGTCTGTACGTGTTCTGTTTAGGTGTTCTCGTATACATCCTACACTCGGGGTGTGCACGATGACGTCCCCCCTCTTGCCTCATCGCTCTGGCAACCGGCCTACACCCACCACACTTGCTCTGCAGCCCGCACTCACAGGCACAGAGAGAGAGACTGGGTTTGGGCCAAATCAGACAGCCACTTCTCTCTCTCTCTGTAGCTTCAAGCAGATTTTTTTAAGAGCCGTCACCCAATGCTTCACTTTTTTTAAGGGTCCTTCATATATTATCTTAACATTTCACCGATGGCGAGATGTTATCTCCCACATCTGGCATTCAAGAGACCCAAGAATATGAATCACTGCAGTCACGGAAGCTTTAAATCAAAATTTAAGAGGTCGTTTGTTTGATCCCGACCCTGTCGATGCCTGTATATTTGAAATTCGCGTGTTCTCTCCCCGTGGAAGTGACGTGGAATTTTTTCCAGGTCTTCCGGGTTTCCCCTCCACATTTAGACAAGTACATTTAGATAATTTGGCTGTCACTATACATTCCCACGTGTGATTATTATGAAATCCACGTCTTGTGTGGCCAGGTCACCTTTGAAAAAGAGCTAATAGCTATGTGGGCTTTACCCCGTAAATAATAATAAATAATGTTTAAAGAATTTAGCGTTTTGTGTTGTGCTTTTCCCTTTAGGTTAGTTAAACTGCAAACCATATCAGAATCAGAAATGGTTTTATTCGCCATGAAAGTTCGCACAGACAAGGAATTTACTTTGGCAGGAAGGTGCATACATTCAACATATAGTAATCTCAAATCTAAAATAAGTGGTATACAAGTCTAACTATACTAAAGGTACAAATACGTTCTCACTGTACACGTACACAAAACACACACAAGTGTACAGAACACTTTTTCATCATGCTGCAATTATACATTTACAGTCCTTGGACAATCCACTGCTGGATGAAGACCTTCCCACAAGCCGTGGCAAGCCATGGGGGTTTATTTGAGCATACTTCTTCACGCTGGTCAGAGCGATTTGGTTGAAAGGAAGAAGAGGGCCACGGCTGGTTCGGGTGTCATTTGACACTGACATCAGTCACGACCGGGAATCAAACTTAGGTGGCTAGGTTTCCCGCACCTCTGATGAGCACGGTTGGCTACGTACAGTGGAAAATAAGTTCAACACACATCCATACAGGTTTAGAGTGCCATGTGCGACCCATTGCGCCACCACTCCCCTCCCAAGTATGAATTACTGTACTGTAATTTCAGTGCTTAAGTAATTGCAAGTAATGTATTTTTATCAGTGTCAATCACTTATGATACATTTACGTCTAGTGTAATTTACATATATATCGTATACATATATTTTATTCACACCTTTCCACGTGCTATCTGTCTGACCATGCAATTTGCGACGTTCAAGTAATTCAACCTGCAAAGGCCTTTTCAGGTCAGATAACATCTGTAAAATCTTTAAGTATTTCTGTGCCATGAATAACATTACCGCCATCACATCTGGCCTGGTGGCCTTGTGGTGATAATGATGGAGTGACTCACAATCAGAAAGCTCCGTGCGCATTAGAGTTGACATTTCGGTCAAGGATTGGTCGATTCAGCCCATCATCCCTCCGGAGTCAATGAGTAAATTTAGGGTCGATGAGTATCAAAGTTCCAGTGAGTCACCAATGATCACCTCATAGATATACTGCCCCCTGTCATAACGTGGAATTTACACCACTATGTGAAGGCTGCAGATGGAGATAGACGCAGTGCTAGTGGTTGCTTTAGCGGGGAGACACCGTGTCACTTAAGTACCATTTGTTTAATTAGCAAAGCCTCGCTGAGTTGAAATATTCGTTTTCAGGGGTGTTCTGCGTTTTGATTTTGGGCCATTTCCTTTGTAAAGGAGCATTTCTTTGCAATTGAAAGGAAACTGCAGTACCCAGAATGGCTAAAGCTTTGTCACCTGAGGTTGTACCAACAAGTAATATATTTGGTCTGGGCTCATGGGACTCGGCCCTGGTTTAGCTGTACCTGCGTAAGAGTGCACCTCACAATGATCAATGCCAGGTGCCATGACTACCTGTGCGCCATTTTCCGAGCGGTGAGAATGGGCGTGGCTGCTCACGTCCAAAATGGCGGACACCATGCAAGTTTTTTTTCTGTTGTTTTTTCCCTGTCCCCAATTGACTTGTCAATTGTGTTGTCATAATATTAAATTCCCAATTTTGAACTCTCACAACTGTTAGTGCACTATCACGGCTCTGAAAGAGGACCTCAATAAACCGAAGATGACAATGACACAAAGGGGAATG